CCAAAGTAGTGGGCCTGCCTGGGGCTACGTTCCTCAGACTGTCCGAGCTTGGGCGTTGCGTGCCGTAAGGCAAGGTACCTTACCTAACGGCAAGGTACCTACCAAGTGTTGATGGGAGCGCCCTCAGTAAGGTACCTTAACCTTAGGTAGGTCGGCCCCGGTCGCATGCGTTCTCATCCTCGATCGACATCAGACCAAAAGGAGTATGCCTGAGGGGCACTTCTCATCTTCTTTCTTTCCGTTATTAAAGCCTCCTGCCGTTGGGATGCAGTCCTATGCCGTCGGTCTTTCTGCTTTCTGTCAGTCAGTCTGGTCACTCTCTACTCATTTCAGCTTCGTTTTTCGCCTCGTTTTTCGCCTCGTTCTCCTCCGTCCTCCTCCTCCTCCTCCTCCTCTCTCCTCCCCCATTTGACGAAGAGCTCTGGTAGTTCTAGCAATTACCTTGAGCTTTTGTATATTTGGGGGTTTTCCTTCTTCTTTCTTGTTCCTTACTTTGCCCTGCATTGCATCGCCTTGCGTCACATCGCACCGGGTACCTTTGCCTGCCTCTTTGTTATATACCACATTCTATTTTAGACTTTCAGATCTGGATCTCTTCTCTTCTTCTCATCGGCTCGAACCTTTGCGGCATTTGGAGCGATTTCTCCCTCTCCTTTCTTGAGCGTAACTGTATGCGTCAAACGAGACTCGGATATTGGTAATACAACAGCAATACAATAGACCTGGCGTCGACATCAACTTTTGACTTTCGGATCGGCATTTCCACCCCAACACAACAACACAACCGCCCACTCAGCGTACGTCCACCCATCCTGGTTGTCCAAATTCAGCAATTCGATCGAACCTCGATATCTTACGTCAACCACCCTTTTCTCCTCAACCACGTGCGAACACTATCTGCAGCCTGCTGCACCTCGACGGCACCGGCACCTCTGTCGCCCGCGTCTCGCCCAATAATTGCGGCCATCACCATCCAGTTCGCCAGTCTTTCAGGGATTCGCCTGTGAACACACAGCACGCAGGTCCAACTACCTTGGCTTGGCTCTGTCTCGGGTCCCGCTCCGGCGATAACGACTCTTCGTTCCCTCCGCCCCGTCTGCTTCTTGGTTTCCGTTCCGATAATCAAACTAGCGTCATTCATCCCATCCCAACCCATCCCACACCCCCTTCACTGCCGCCTCCATCGGTACCCGAGTCACACACTCGCGCAGATTGCTTGCAGTCTGTCTCGGTTTCCTGCTGCCCTGTTCTTTTCTCGCCAGGCGCCTGGTTTTGCCGACTATCTCCGTTTTGGCCGGCGCTGCTGCGACACGAAGCAACTGCTGTCTCTATCTCCTTCGCCACCCAAGCCGCACACGCCTCTTCTAACCTCAAAGGTGCCAGAGTCTCGAGCTTGCCGTGGTTCAACTCCGGTACATCAGCCCAGGTCTTGAAGTCACCGCCAGTGCAACCCTCGCATACGGGTTAACTTGCGTTCCGTCGCTTGCAAACCCCGCGCCCCGAGTGAACTACCTGTGCGTTTGTTCACCTCCTCCACCAAAAGCACTCGCCCTCGACCTCGAATCCAATTACGCGCTAAAGGTAGCGGCTGTAAGTGCCTACCTACCGCCCATCGGTGGTCCGCAACCTCCGGCCACTCCCACGCCCACAAGCCCACCTTGGCTGCCCACTCCTCCTGATCAAGCACGCCAAAACCCGCCCCACGTTCAGTGTCACTCCGCCGCGAAATTCGTCGCTCGGCCTTGGTTACAGGGAGACACACACCCCAGGCTATTATTACCTCTATTCAAGCCTGTCACCACCCACTCTCAAGTCGACCCTCCCCGGTCTTAGCTCGCTTCCTTCCCCTAATCCCCGCCACGGACAACGACCATTCTTAACCATGTCGGGCTTCGTTTCCTCACCCACCGCCCTGCACCCCGCCCTCAGTAATCCGCTCCCGCCGACTCTGCGCTCCTCCGAGGCAGTTAAAACCTCGCTCTCCAACCGACCCCAGAGCTCCAACGCTGCCCACAACAGTGAGCGCCCATCGACGCCCGACTCATCAGCCTTCCTTAGCCAGTCTCTGCCTCGCAATGCCGCTTCCCTAGCAAAGTCTTCCTTTCCTACTGAGCTCGTCCAACGCGGCACTGCCGCAGACGCTGCAACCGAGACTGCTTCTTCTTCGATATCTGGAGCCGCGACTGCGGCAACTATACCCACAGCCGCCCATCCCGAACTACCGCCACCTCTGTCGCGTTCCTCCCCTGCTGCGCACCACGGCCACCCTCCCAAGGGCCACCGCCGTAACGCGCCTTCACACGAAGTTCCCCGCCAGACTATTATGAAAGCTCTTGCTTCGGTTGTCCGCAGAAACAAACCCGAAGCCCTTTCACTCACCGGCATGTTATCCGCACAGGGTGGTGTCGAGAATCGGCCAGCTACCTCGTCTTCTCAGAAGCTGGCCGACGCACTCAACGAGCTTGCCAACCGCAACATGACACCCACTACCGCGCTGCCCTCGCTGCAGTCTCCTTGCTTTTACCACAACCGCTTTGACGATGCCGTCAATATTGACAAGGTCCTCGAGGAAATCAAGAACGACGACTGCATGTCTCACTCAAGACTAGTCCAGACCGCTACGGGCGTCAGAGAGGTCTCCAAGCAGCTCCAGCGCCGTCCCATCAAGCGCGCCGTACGCAACGTCATGATCGTTACCAAGGCTCGCGACAACCAGCTCGTCTACCTCACTAGAGAGCTTGCTTCCTGGCTTCTGCGCACTCCGAGATACGGTTCCGATGTCGGCGTCAACGTTTATGTGGATGCCAAGCTCCGCAACTCTCGTCGTTTTGACGCGAACGGCCTCCTGGCTGAGAACCCTGCCTTCCAAGACATGCTCCGATACTGGACGCCCGATTTGTGCTGGAGTCAACCTGAGAAATTCGACCTAGTCCTCACCCTTGGTGGCGATGGTACGGTGCTTTTCACCTCGTGGCTCTTCCAGCGCATCGTGCCTCCTGTCTTGTCATTCAGCTTGGGCAGTCTCGGCTTTCTCACGAGCTTTGAGTTCGAGAAGTATAAGCAGCACCTGGATCGCATCATGGGAGAGGAGGGTATGCGTGTCAACTTGCGCATGCGCTTCACCTGCACCGTGTATCGCGATGGTTCCAGAGGCGAGGAGGCTGAGGAGGGCGAGCAATTCGAGGTTCTCAATGAGCTGGTCATCGATCGCGGACCGTCCCCATACGTCTCCAACTTGGAGCTTTATGGCGACGATGAGCTCCTCACAGTGGTGCAGGCCGATGGATGCATCTTCTCAACACCAACCGGTTCTACTGCCTACTCGTTGTCCGCTGGAGGATCGCTTGTGCATCCCGACATTCCCGCCATCCTCCTGACGCCAATCTGCCCACACACCCTCTCTTTCCGCCCAATGGTCCTCTCCGACACCATGCTGCTACGCGTTTCTGTGCCGCGCAACTCTCGCGCTACGGCCTATTGCGCTTTCGACGGAAAGGGGAGGGTTGAGCTCAAGCAAGGCGATTACGTCACAATTACGGCGTCTCAATATCCGTTTCCTACTGTCGTACGCACTCAGACCGAATGGTTTGACAGCGTTTCTCGCACCCTCCGCTGGAATACACGCGCTGCCACGCAGAAGGGTTTTGATTCCTCAGCCAACAGCTTGTGCCCCTCGGAGGACGGCAAGGACGAAGAGCCTGAGTGGGACATCGATACTGATTCGGCTTGCTACGCCAGTGAAGACGGCAGCATCAGTGCCAGCCCCCTTAGAAGACAGATGAGTCTCTTGGGCATGTGATTTTTTTCCTCTCAGACGAGACAGAGAGAAAAGCAAATGCATGGTGATTCCCCACAACGCATTTCCTTTTTTTCTTCTTTTTTTTTACCCCGCAGCGAAAGGGCATTACAAAGACCTATTCATCAACCCACCTGAGCGAGGCGGGCTAGACACATTGTTTTGACGTTTTGATTTTTGTTTTCCAAAGCTCCGGCTTCATAGACGTTGGCAACGCTAGCCAGGGGGCGAACAATTGTATCGAGGGCTGCCAGAGGCCCGAATCAGACACGCTCGCACGGCAAAAAGTCATACAGGAGAGCGTTGAGGATACTTGGAAATGGCATCCCCTGGCATGTATTTAGTGTGGTTCTCGGGATGAGCCATACGGTGGGAAGGGTGAAAGAAAGGAGCTCAAAGTCCCATCAACATAGAATTCATACTCCATCAGCTGAATAGCAGATCTGGTTAAGTACACAAAACAATAATGGTCAATAAGATCTAGTTCTATGGAGTGTGCGGGGGGTTGTGTATGCCTGCGCGCGCTTTTGTGCAAAACATGGCTACGCAAGGGAGATCGAAAGAAGACGGAAACGGGAACATTCTTAGCCTTTCATTTAAAAGACATCTCTTTAAAAGAGACCCTGGATCTTCAACCGGAATATCAATTATTGGACGGCTGTGAAGATTGGGGAGGAAGAAATGTCTATGAATATCTTCCAGTATTGCATGATTCTTCTGTTTCGCTCTTTCGTCTTCGCCTCACCCGGTTCGCTGTGGCGTCACTATGCTAGTCTATATACAACAGACAATGACTGCGCGCATTCAACCAACATGTTACAAAACATAGCCATATCCAAAGCCACACGACCCAGTCGGACTCAGTCGTCCGGTGTGCACAAGAGGCCCCCCACCCCGAAGTATCACTACCGAGGATCAAGTATCGGCGTTGGATTACCAGGCATCGGCATTATCTGGTTGCCCCATACCCAGTTCATATGCCATGTAAGAGAGATTTTGCTGAAAGCTCCTCTGCAAGAGTCGCTTGTTCCAGGAACTCTTCGGATTGTTTCGTGCATAAACCTTGCTAGCTTCTGGGCCGCTCTTTTGCCCGATGATGGCCTGACCTCGACCAAGACAAGCATGGGGCATTTCTGCTGTCATGCCGTACGTGACCATCTTACCGTAAGCAAGGCTGGCGTGGAATCACCCAAGCACCGAGCCATCACCTCCAGTTCCCTTGACTCAAAGACAGCAAGCCTGCGATGCAATCCATGTCCCCCTTTTTGCTCGGGCTGACTTCACCACGCATAAATATTTCAACATCATCCGCAGGCTTTTGCGCCAACAAGCCTTCGTCATCCTCGAAGATGGACATGTCCTTCCCAGAATCTCTCCGACCCATAGCCGGCATCGTCCTGGCGCGGTTGCCACTGAAGATGACTGGTCCTGGATGGTCCTGAAGAATGCGACCCGTCCGCCTCGCGTTGGGCTTTTTAGCAGCTATTGCAGGCAATGGCGCCCCGAGGTCTCCGGCTGGCGATATGCGACGTGCGTTCCCCTCTTCATCCGGAAGCCAGTTTTCCTTGTCAGAGTCACCCGATGGAGACACCAACATGTTGTCTTTGACTCTTGCGGATTCCTCCTCATCCGTCGGCCAGTCAACAAGCGATGTTTGCATCCTGGCAACACTCGATGAGGTCCGGCACAGCTTAGGCTTCTTAGCGTGCTGGGGCCGGGGTGTCGGCTTGCTTGCTGGAGAGTTCCGCTTTGAGTTGTTGCTTTGAAGGATGCCACTTGTTGAGCGTAGAAGACTGATTGCGGCGACGGCCGAACCATTTGACTCGTTCTCTGCCTGTGCAGTGAGTTCGTCCCGGGTATCAGCATCACAGCATAGTTCCCAGGCATGGGCATCTCGGGATCGTCCGCGAGATAGAGTCGGTGGGAGAGTGTCAGTGAGAGCCGATATGGGAGGTAGGGTCACACTCGGAAGCGCACTGTGACTACGTTGGAGAGAACGAGGCTTGACTTGCGGCAGACCTGGCAAGTCTGAGAACAGTCCCGTAGGCTGCAACCGCGGAGGCGAGGATTCATTCGAAACGACCTCCGCCTTGCCCTCAAGAGAAAGTGACAGGCGCACATGCGATTGGGGGGGAGGAAGGATAGGTGCTGCAGACACGGTTGACTCGCAGGATGGAGGGCATTGCTCAGATCTGATGGGTGTGAGTTTGGTCTTCGTCAATGCATGAACACAACGGAAGCCATACCTGGGAGTATCGTCTACCTTGCGATCGAGCGTCGACGGCGTGGAAAAGGAACTTGCAGGGTTCCACCGCTTAGACATAAGTCCTATAGAGCTTGAGAAGGAAAACGAGGATGAGGTCTGCGGCTGAGAGGCAGGGTCTGACAGTTGAGTTGAGGGGGTCTCCAGAGCGCTGTCTCCCGAAATGCCAATTCCATGGGAAGGACTGACGGTGCGAGAACCGTCGACGGCGTCCTTCATGCCTGTGTGAACAGGCTTGACTGGTGTCTCCATAGGCGCAGAAGCGCTACTCATAGCAGCAGCTTCGGCTATTGGCGACGTCTTTTCCTCGCCGACCGGAGAGCTATATGTTGCAGGGTCAGAGGAGAGTATCTGCATTCCACCGTAACGGAGAGCTGCGATTTCCTGTGCAGAGAGGGGACGCGACTTGCGCCGGTCATTCTGGCGACGGTTTTGAAACCAGATCTTCAAGACGGATCAGCAACCATTTGATTAAAGTCTGCGTAAATCATTATCTTTACTTGAACCTCCTTCTCGTTGAGGGAAACGCGCTTTACGATGTCCAGACGCGCCGCCTTGTCTGGTTTTGGGTTCGCGAGGTAGGCATTCTCAAGTATGCTCTTATCTTTGGCGCTATGTGACAATGTCAGTGACTGACGCGTGGTCACGCGATTCAATTGAACCCACGCAGTCCTCTTCCGCTTTCCCTTTGGGTGCTTCTCGGGCTCCGCGCCGGTCACTATTGTTTTCGACGTTGTTGATGATGTCGCGAGATCAGAGGACGAAATGGTGAGATCGGGTACGGAGCGCTCTAGTTGAGAGAATGAATCACTCGAAGACGGAGGGGAAGTTGCCGCGGCAGCAGTCGGGACTGGAGGAGAGATTTCGGAGGCGGGCATGTTGGTGACGGTCGAGCTGGATTACGTTTGGATGGCAATCATGGTCCGGGGAAAGACGAAGTATCCGGAAGGGCTAGGAGGGTAACAGAAACACGGTCTTGTAGCACTGGCAAAACAAAGGAGATTGGAGAGGTGCAGCAGCAGAAGAGCAAGTCAGAGGGAAGAGGGAGAACGGCAACGAGAGGTTCTGGGAACGAACGAGGTGGGGAAGATGAAGGTCGAGACACGAGACGGCGCGGTCATGCGTAATTAGGTACGGCGACGTGCGGTCTGTTGCGGCGTACCCTTGGTGTTGAACTTTAGCGCGTCTGACCCAACTACCTACCCAGGCAGATACCTGCCCTGGTGTACCTTGGGCAAGGTTCAGCGTACCTCAGTGCTTCGGTGCCCTCCACTTCGTGCGTCGACTGAACTCGGACACTGAGTGGAGGGTGCCTTACTAGGTATGTCCCACCCCGCAAGCTTAGGGCAGCAGCGCCAGGCACGAAGGTGAGGTAGGTGCAGCGCGATCGCGGCACGGTTCTCCACGGCCCACCTCCAGTCACGTAAATCCAGTACCAGGCACCTTACGGATACCTACCTTACCATCGCATCCGATCTTTCACAGACGAAGAATTGTATTGATTGGGATGCCTCTCTTAGCCTCAACGTACATCGGTCTAGGTACCTATCCAGGCAGGGAGGTCCACAGATAAAGTGATGTGGCTGAGGCACATGACAGTCAACAACAAGGCACATTTGACGAGGCTCGGACCAGTCAAGTCGCGTCTTCGTCGTCAATTGGGAAATCAAACAAAAACAGTACCTATCTCCAGGGGCTACACTTTCAGCAAATACCTACCTACTGCATGCATGCACGTCCCTGAGACACCATGCCAACTGCGAAGCAACCTTTACGTCTTGTTTTTGTGACTTGGTCGCTGAATCTCGTGGGATCTCGAAGGCTAGTTACCAACTTCAACTTCGTTGGGCTGTACCTCGCAAGGCTTGCCGTCTGGTCCCAATTGCCAGACAATGGCGTATGAGGCATATGCACAGCTGATGTCGCGTTGAATGTAACCTACGCCAGCGCACTGAGGACGTACGGTTCTGTGTCTGACTGAAAAAGTAATTGAGATTGTATAGAATCTGCAGCCAACCAGAAGGGCAAAGATGGAAATGTCCCCAGATGACCGCATTCAACAGCGCGGTCACTTCGTCTTTCAATCACGATCCATGCGATCTCGCTTCTGATTATGCACTAGGCCAAGAGAGGGGACTTTTGAACCCTGTCTAATCCCCTAAAACGCGTCGCCAACCCTGGTTCATGACTGTTCGTGCCTGTGCCCATGCCCGTGCTCGCGCCGTCTGCGCCCCTCGTTTTACTGCCTCTCTGCTCCATCCCCAGATGGCGTCGCGACCTACCAGGTAGGTACGAATATTCCGGAAGATGCGGCGAGCTGGGATGCTAGTCCACGGACACGATGGCCGATGCAAAGAATCAGACACGCAATCGTCGAACGCCGCCGCTTTTAACCAAATATACCGATGGTCCTCGAAGAAGACAGGCCAAGCCCGTGACACTAGACCTTCAGCTGAATCCGCGGCAGACGTCAGTGACTATACCGGCATTATATGCATCGTTTTTGACCACTAGTTTTGCGCCCGGAGACTGTTATTGGTAACTGACATGCTCATCGAGTTGCGCACCGACTAACCATGAGTTGCTATCTAATTATTCGTATCGCGTCGTCTGCCACGGCTCGCATAGAGAAATGGAAAGGAGCGGTTCAACCCCTGACACCTTGGGTATGGAGTGTGAGAAATCGGTGTTCATCTTGTAAGGCGTCGAACTACCTACTCAAAGTATGCTGGCCGTCTAGCAGCAAATGTAAGGCCCTTCCATCCTTCTCCGAGTCTACCAAATGAACCGGCCGTGCCGTCTTCTACCATCATGGCCATAGCCAGCGATCGCCAGTCTGCGCCAAAGAATCCCGGTTCACAATACCCTGTTGGCCGCTCCACCACAGTCGGATCATGATCCAAACATCATGTCTATCTTTACAGATCCTCGTCCGAAAGCTCACCGGGCAGGGGCATGTTGGCAGCCTCGTCCATCTCCTTGCGGTACTGCTCCAGAAGCTTCTCGTCAACCTGGGCGGTAGGGGGGGCGAGAGCCGGCGCGGCAACAAATTCCTAGCGGTCCATCAATATCGTTGCGTCTTGAGCAAGCGCAGGCTTATACTTACCAGAGCAGGGTTGCCGACAAGCTTGCGCGCGAGCCAGAGGAAGGGCTTCTCGAAGTTGTAGTTAGACTTGGCGGAAATATCGTAATACTGGAGGTTCTTCTTGCGGTGGAAGGTGATGGTCTTGGCCTTGACCTTGCGCTCCTTCACGTCGACCTTGTTGCCACAGAGGACAATGGGGATGTTCTCGCAAACGCGGACGAGATCGCCTGTGGATATTGGGTAAGTCATGCTGGCAACAATGTTTGGTTCCCTCCAGAAATTGGCGAAATCGCTCGTGAAGGGGTTGACGTACGGTGCCAGTTGGGGACGTTCTTGTAGGTGATACGGGAGGTGACATCAAACATGATGATACCGCACTGGCCGTTGATGTAGTATCCATCACGGAGACCGCCAAACTTCTCCTGGCCGGCGGTATCCCAGACGTCGAACTGAATCTGACCGAAGTTCTAAGGCGAGACGAGAAAAAATCAGTATTCGTCACAAACTCGAGACCGTAGCAAAATCGCCCCATTGGGGGCACTTACCGTGGTGAAACCCAGAGGGTGAACCTCGACACCCAGGGTAGCCATGTACTTCTTCTCGAATTCACCAGTCAAGTGGCGCTTGACGAAGGTGGTCTGGTATTATTTTTCATGGTCAGCAACAGAAAAACTACGATGTCGAGTATGATTTCGAGGGGACGTAGTGAGGAAGCAGCCGCAGCGACGCGCGCCCGATAAGAGGCAGGATGTCTGAACTTCCACAACTGACCTTTCCAGTACCACCATCGCCAACAAGGACGAGCTTGAAGGTGGGCGTTTGCTGAGCGGCAGCCATGTTCGCAATCGCTCGATGAGTTGGCTCGGTGCGAGTCTGTTGTAAACAAGCGGGGCTGATCGAGGGATTAGCAATCGGCGCAAAAGAAAGAAGTAGACGATGGCGAGAAGGAATTTCGCAGTGGGTTTCCACGCAGAGAGTGAACCCGGGTGGCTCGTACCGTGGAGAGACAGCGTAGACGGGCTGTAGACGTTTGGCGTGTAGGAATCGTCACCGACTGATCGACTTTGGGGGGGTGGTTGTTTTTGAGGATGGCGGGGAGCTTGCAAGGAAGCCGTACTTCTTAAGCGAAAATTTCAGTCAGGCAGGCCAACGGAGTCGGGTAGGCACGATTGGGCTAGACGCCTGTCACGTGCATGGCCGCCTCGTCATAGCGGGGTCCCTGTCAAGGCCCTGTAAAAATCGGTGCAATCACCTCCCGTCCTACCTTAGGCACGTACCCAACTGCTTAGGTACCTGGTAGAAGGTCACGTACGTAGGGTGGTCCAGTAATTAAGTAGCACGCAAGAGCAGTCTCGCCGGTCAAATCCAGTGAGGTGCAAGCAGGGCACTTCAATTTCTCTCAGGCAACTCAGGTAAAGGAAAGGCATGGAAGAAATTCGGAAAGTTTCCCATCCCGGCAGGTCTAGCGCTAGTCCCCTTGTGGATTTACAAATTTTATTCACCGGTCCCACTAATTAGTCTGTCACTGCTAGGCTGTACCTACATAGTACCTAGGTCCTCGATGGACGAAGGGTCGCGACTACTGCATCACGGGTTGCGCCGCTGGTCAGTCGACTTGTGTGGCTGTCCGTCCCCCAGAGTGTTGCAATACTTACTCTTACTTGGCATCTGGATTTGTACGGCATCGTTGATGTTCCTTACACATACACACACGACAACGCGAGCCTGACATCGAATTCCCGCCTGCTGCTTTGAGAAACACTCCCATTGGTTGATTATCTAGAGGCAGCAAAAAGCCAAGCCTTGCTCCGTGCCTGGGTAGTTGCCAACGCTCGATCATCGTATAGGTGATGATTGCAGCCTAACAACCTCGTTGTATTATCGTGAGTCAGACGTCACGATTGAACCATTGCGTGCTTTACAGCGCAGAACGTATCAGCACATTATGATAGCTTCTGTGCCAGTCTAGCGTCTCATCCTCACAGTGGAATGATATGACAGCCCAACAAGCCTCGGCCGCCCCAGTTGCGTGTCGGCGTCAATGTGAGTTGCAGTTCTTGCCGTGTGCCTGAACCAGGCCTCGACACCCGAACCAGCACCGGTTGCTTGCAAGTCGTCAGTTTGGCACGTCCGCGGCTATAGACCCGACCAAGTGGGTTATTCACTTACACCTTCATTCCCCTGGACACACTCGGCAACCTTCTTGAGATTGTCATGGTTCGCATGGCTGACATAACCAATATTTCGAATCTCGTCATTGGGCTTTAGACCAGCCTCACCGGCTGGGCTGCCAGGGACAACACTGTTGACTTTGGCGAAAGGCTCCTGTAGTGTTTCCAACGGCACACGGTCGGGCAGCAAGCCAATGTCGCCTCTGGTTGGTGCCGACTGCGTCTCGTCATCTTCCTGCAGAATCGCAAAGTGTTCGTGGAGATGCTTCTCCACCAGGATCATGAGGTCTTTGTAGTCGTTGCGGAGGTGAATTATGCGGGCTCTGGTTGTGCGCACTGTTTGTCCACGGTCAGCCGGTTGACTAGGACTTTCGCAACCTGGTGTGCACTGCGTACCTTGGGCGACGTCAATATCCGCTCTTGGAAAACCGTCACGGGTAGTGAGAGAAGTGCTCATGTCAACACCATGCTGAAAAACAGGTTAGACAACTGTCATGTTCATGCTGGTGCTGAGGCAAGATTAGGGGGTCCGATTTACAGAATCAAGGACTGCGCCGAGAGCTTTGAGCTCGGCCTCCATGTCATCTTTCTTCTTCTGCAACTCGGCAAAGTTCAAGCGGCGGAGGTGGCCGTTTTTCACGGCGGTGGTGGTCGGTCCCGAGGGTACGGTGGGAGTGTGGATGTTATTCATTCTGAGCGGCAATCCCATCGTCTTCGGCAGGGATACCACCGGCGAATTTCCAGCCGTAGTACAGTCGTTCGATAGCTTCGACGACTGCAGCTTGTCTGTATGCTCTAGTGTCCTATCGCAACGAGGTTGAGGAAGAAGGTGTGTAGATGGAACACAAGACAACGTGAATCGCCTTTAAATCAATTCGTAAGTACTGTTAAACTATTGCCCCGCGGTGCATTGTGGTGGTGGTGATGCTGACGGCAACACCTCCGCATTGTTACACAGTACCTAGCTAAGGTAGTTACAGTACCTCGCGTGCCTGCCTTGTTAAATGCGCAAACCTAAGGTAGCATTCGGCAGGCGGTCTGCAGAACATGGGCATGTATCCCGTACAATGCACCTTGGAAATGACAGCATCAGCCGCTGGGTATATGACTAAGGAGGCTCAGATAAGATAACATAGCCCCAAGCACCTACCTTCACTACCTACCTTACCTACCTGGGTTCCTGACGTGCCGCGACCGTTCCCACCTGAAGCAAGAATCAAACCGTGTCGCAGTGTTGCTTTAGCTTCAGCAAATATCCCAACCCAGCGTCTACATTCTGCTGGCTCTCCGAGAGCTCCCTTGCCAGAGACCCAACTCGTTCGGTTTCTACGTCATTATCCTACTTTGTGCTCCCGATTCGAGCAATTCGCCTCCAAGATGGCAACTGGCATTGATGCGAAGTTGCTGAAGTCGACGAAATTTCCGCCGGAATTCAACCAAAAGGTTGACATGCAAAAAGTCAACCTTCAGGTGATGAAAAAGTCGGACCTTTTGCCTGCAACTCGCTGCTCGTTCAATTGCTAATTCGTCTCCTTTTCACAGGTGGATCGCAAGCAAAATATCCGACATACTAGGGAGTGAGGACGATGTCGTCATTGAGCTTTGCTTCAACTTGATCGAGGGCTCTAGATTTGTCAGTCTTACTCCTGCATGGTAGCCTCTTTATGCTAACAAATGACAGCCTGACATCAAGTCTTTGCAAATACAGCTCACCGGCTTTTTGGATAAGGACACCGCGCCGTTTTGCAAGGAGCTCTGGAAGCTTTGCCTCAGTGCCCAAACCAGCCCCCAAGGGGTTCCGAAGGAACTACTCGAGGCCAAGAAATTGGAACTGATCCAAGAGAAGGTGTGTGCATATGTCGACAGCCCATTGCTGCAGAAACAACAGCTGATAGCTCAATCAGATTGAGGCAGATCGAGCCGCGGACGAATCTCGCCGCCGACGCGAAGACGCAGAAAGACGGGAACAAGAAATCAGTCGACTGAGGGAACGCGACCGTGGGGACCGTGGACGCGGTCGCGGCGACACTTGGCGTGGCCGTCGCGGAGACAGGGACTACGACCAGCGAGGCAGGCATGGCGGACGATTTGGCGAAAACAGATCACGGTCCCCGGCCCAGAGATATCGCGAACAGAGGGAAAGAGGTTCTTTTCGTGGCAGTCAGCGTGATAGCTATGTTCCGAGAGACCGAGTCGCGGTGGGGAGACGACCCGGTCGTCGCCGTTCGCCGTCAGTAGCGTCAGCATCCTCGCGGGCTACGTCTCGGAGCACGAGTGGTGAACGCAAGCGCAGCCCCAGTCGTGGTTCTCCGTCTCCCCCGCCTCGAGGTTCTCGGCGAGATCGCAGTTCCTCTGTCGGACGGCCTTCCAAGCAGCGGTCCAGATCCCCTAGACGAACAGCGCCCGGGCACCGTGATACGCGACGGAAGCGTAGCCCTTCCAGAAGCCGTTCGACCGCTTCGCCTTCACCCAACAGGCGACCAGTCACCAAGCGTCGCAGGTACTCCTCATCTAGAAGCAGATCACCAGGAATCGACAGGAGATCCCGGAGCAGATCCTCGAGCAGTGCGTCATCGCGAAGATCGAGATCCCGAAGTCGCAGCCCCAGACGCCAGTCATATAGCAATCATGCTGAGAATCGCATACCAGGGCGTCGAACACGTCGCAGCAGCAGTGCTTCTGGTCTGCCGGATAGTGACAAGGGCGGCATCAAATCAGACCACGATGGGCAACAAGAAAGAAGACGTCGGGGAGACGAACCAGCTGGGGCCAAGCGTCGGAGTACATCATCGGCGTCATCGAGGTCTGGACATGGTTCCACGTAGGAGGCTCTGAGTTCAGGCCTCTGAGGATGGCGGGAACACAGATGAGAACCTCGAACAATAGACCTCCCGGCAAGCCTAACGCTAACCGTCTACAAGGATTTGCCGGCCGGACGATACCAGCAGTAACGATTGCTTGCCGGAAGTCACTGACTATATGGAAGACCGACATCGTGCAGCGCCTGATCCGGTACGTTCGCCAATAATCGGCATGCAGCTTGCCATTCTACATTGCTGGCTGAATGGATAGCGCAACCCCATAGCAAGTGATAAATGACATCCATGATTGTTATTCCTAATGAAAAGTGAAACGAGGCGCACACATATTTAACGACGCACTCATGTTCAGTGACCTTCTCGAAAGGCTTGATATTACATGCGAAAAGTCTCTGTAAGAGACGGCGTGGATTCGAGCTTGATTACCTGCTTCGTGGAAGGCCAGTCCGAGTGGACATGTGTAATTGAGGTGCCAATGACCACAGTCCCGTCGGTATTCGCACCTTCCCTTTAAGAGTTGCGCACAGGCACGTTACATTAGCGCCCAAGTGCCTGCCTTAGGTAATTGCTCCCGCTGTACAGTGTGATATTTTTCATCCCCACTCCCCAGTACAACACTGGGTACCTCTAGGTAAGGTTGGACAAGCGTGCCGAAAAAGCAAATTCCAGCACGATAATAGCACCATCATCTCAGCCTCGCGACAACTCCTTCGCCGCACCCCCTCATCGGACACGATTCGATACGTCCGTTCGGTCAAACGGTGAAGAGGGGAGATTGACTTCACGCGGCACGCTCGTCATACTCACGATTTGGGTTTTGACCCGAGCTCTTTCCGTACAACAGCTTCTGCCGGCAGTGCCCGGAACGAGGCCTTGAGCGCGTCGAAGCTGCAATTCCGCCACTTTCGTTCGTCAAATAGCATGTCGGATCACGATCGACACGTGACTGACTGATTCCTGTCTTTCTCTTCTACATCCGTCGCCTCTATCCTTACAGCTAGCTGTAAGGGCTGAGCGAGCACTGCCCAAAGCCATACTCAAGGTATAGCGGCTAGAACGAAGAGGTGTGCCATCCGAGTTATGAGACTCTGTGCTTGTTGCACATGGTAATCATCAAGACTTTGACAAGTGTTCATGCTCTGACCTCTTTGTTCGCCCTAAACCCTGGCCCTACTCTTCTCCTCAACTCCTACTATCCTCCCACGATCACTGTTGCCGTTTTCCTATTGGCAACATAATTCATCTCTGTTGGCTTGTCTTTAGCTCAGCCCACAGTTTCATCCTCAACAAAGGGAAACCATGAGCTTACCATGGCCTGAGAGCTGTAGCAGCACAAGCCACTGTTTGAAGACATCGCCATTGCTCGATGTCTCTGCCGAAGGCGAGAGGAGTACGCTGCTCAAGCGCGATTCGAACCTCGGGAAGTCATCTGCTCCCGTTGACATGATGCCGGATGGTACCGGCGCTCCTGGGCAACTGAAATCCGGCTTGCGAGATGCTTCGGCCCAGATGCACAAACGCAAGTCTGTTCACAGTTCTTTTGATATCGGGGATCATCAAAGCGGTCAAGCCAATTTCAAGAAACCCAGGCGTGGCTTTGGGGAAAAGCCATTACGTCAGAAGGGTTACGTCCTTCCATCTACAGTTTGGCAACATATCTTCACCTTAGTGCATCCTAAAGACTTAGGCAACTTATTACAAACGAGCAGGTTATTCAATATGTGTCTCGATCCGCGATCGTCAATCAGCGAGCAGCAAATTCATGAGACGGTTACAGGTTGTTGCAAACCTATCACGCCTGACATCATCTGGCAATCGTCTCGGAGGCTCTTCTGCCCCAGGATGCCGGCACCCTTACAAGACAAGACCGAGCTCGATATGTGGCGCTTGTGTTGCTCCGTAGTCTGTGAACGGTGCGCAACGGTCAAGGAACCTCATAAGCAAGACAAAACCACTTCCTGTCGGCAAGGGCCAGGGGCTGACGGGTTGGCGACTGTGTTTGCTTTTGGCACTGTCTGCTGCGGCCAGTGCCTACTGAAAGATTCCGTCAAGGCGAGTTCTATTCTGTACGTCCTGTTGGGCTTGAATTAACCGGCCTCTAGGAAATTGATCTGTTGCTCTCATCAACCACACCCTCGTCACTCATCCCTGCCCTTCCTTTCGTATTTGTTACGAATGAGCTTCACGTGGTCTCGCCGAGCACTCTGTCGGTCGAATCCAATGAAGAAATGCCACAAACGACAAAGGTCTTTTGGGCCCCGCACATTGAGACAGCTAAGGCCGAGCTTCAACGGGCACAAGATCTAGGTGCCGCGGCAGTCGAGGAATGGCTCAAGGGTTTGGAAGCCCGAGGGAAAGATGCCAGGCTAGACGCCTCGCGATGGGAGAAATGGGCTCTCACTGGAGGCTTGTTGCATATGCGGCAGCCTGCTTCGTCAGCTTCAACGATCATCGCGGAGGAACAGCGCTTCGAGATCCAAGTTCCACACAATGAGCTTGAAGCCACCGTGCCTCCCGACACCTCGAGCCGGTCAAACATGATAGCGAATGCACCGCAGACAGTATCTCAAGGTCGCCAAGAGAGGACTCGAGAAGAGGCTGCCGCGCGAAAAGCCTTGCGACGGATCGAGATTGAGCGGCGGGCTATGTTGATTGATCCACCATTGCCGCCGAACGTTCTCGTGCACATTCCCTCATTTCAGGCAGCGATTCAGATCACCGCAACGCTCGATGACGATGCTTGGCGTCTCCTCCAGCCGCGATTGCTTGCCCAGCGCGCTGAAGCTGAGCAGGAGGAAAATAAGAAGAAACTCGCAAATATTCAAAGGCCAGTTTTTGAAGCAGCCGAGCCCGCACCAGTGGAAGTTTCGGATAAGGACTGGGACGACATTCAAGGCCCGGTACGTGCGAGCATAGCCAAGTATGCCGACGAGACGATTCGGAGCAATTGGGCCAAAGGCCGTAAAGTCAACAGGGACAATAGCCCGCGATTTGCAGCTGATGTCCTGGTCTCTGTGCGGGCCAGATTCTACTCAGACGTGGCAAAGAACGCCGCAGATGCCATTGCAAATGGCCGACAACCACCGGCCGACCCCCCACAGGGACCCTTCACACAAAAGCTAACTCTCGAAAACATGAAATGGGTGTTTGATGTGAAAATCAAGGCCCACACCGAGTCTCATCGCAAGGAGTTGTTTTTGTGCAACGGTTGTGACAGTAATAGATATTACGGCTTCGAGGGTGTCATACAGCACTACGCGGCGAAGCATACCAAAGCTTTGAGTCTTGGTAATGTCGTCGTTCATTGGAGGGCGGAGTGGCCACCAGAGTCGCCATTTAGTACCCTTCCTCGAACGTCGAAGAAACCGCGCCACAATCCATCGAATGGGCCCCAGCAACAAGGAGCTTCTGGTCCGTCGTCACATCAAGGACACGAAGCCTTCTTTGCGAACGGAGGCAATCCCGCTCCGATACAATACCCCTTCTCAGCTGGGGCTGTGGCGCAAGCAGGCCCTCCCCCACAACGTGCTGTGTCGTACGGTCCATCTCCATCATATCACGGAGTTGGTGTCCTCGATTCCGGCATTTACGGCCCTCCAGCGTTCGTTGCAGGCGTATCAGCATCGCACCCACCTGCGCCTCCAGGACATGGGCTATACGATCATGGCCCGCCGCCGGAGTTCCCTCCAATTATGATGGCGCCGCCTTACCTTACAACAAATCAGTATAGTGCAAACAATGCAGCTGATTTTTACCCCGGTGCACAGCCACAATACCACGTGTCCCAAAGCAGCCTGTACCAGCCGACATATCACGCTCAGCTCGAGAATCTCGTGCGTAACGCAAGAGGTGTTTGGAACACGCTCTCCAGCATCAAGGACATACCAGGGCCTTTGAAGGTCTGCGTTGCATTTTACCACGTAGTGAAACGCTTCCGATTGGCTTTCTCAGAAACGCCAAGTCTTCAAATGTTCAACGACGGTCTTTCGAACCACAAAGGTATGCGTCCCGTCCGGAACGTGAATGGCTTAATGTGCCGAGCTTGCACACTGGGTTTAGGCAATGCTCCTGCTCCGCACGTCCTCACGGAGAGAAAGACCTTTTCTCTGCCTCAGCTCGTCAATCACTTCGAGAGTCTCCATCTCGGCTTTCAACATGCCGAACCCCAAGGCCGAATGGATATGGACTGGACGCAAGACATGCTGTTGCTACCAGAAATGCCTGGGCTAGGTGCTATCAAGGCGACTCTTGGGACTGGCGGTCATAAGTTCAATCTAATGTACGAAGCTGTCCCCTGGGTATTTGATCATACAAGAGAACCTGTTCGCCCATGGCCCCGAGCTGACGGATCTGGTGACGAGTTGCGAGAGCCGGACCGGGAAGAACCCGAAGATATTCGACAGCACTGCGATACGCAGATCTGGAGGGAACGACTCGAGGACGACGTGATAGTGGCGGCATCTCGCAGCTCCCATGCTGAGTCACATGGGAATATCAGCGCTATGCAGCAAATTGGCCCAGCCTACAAGTTGAACCCTGGACAGAGTACTTCACATCCGGAACGGCGTTCGAATCTGTCGGGAGATGGCAGTTCTCGTGGGCAGTCTCGTGGGCAGTCTCGTAAATCCAGCCTTTACTTGGCTGAGCTGCATACCGATTCTTATCCGAGGCGCGGCTCGAAGGACCACTCAGGATTCTACGCCAGATTCGACCGGGCAGAGTCACTTAGGCCTTATGGTTTGCTCCAGCAAGACTCAGTGACCCAATCAGATGGGGTGGCGCTTGTGGAGGGAAGGTCCGCCTGTTCGACCACGCAGCAGTCAAACGAGCCTGATGACTTCAATTTAACTGCTGCTCTGGAGTCACACCTAGCCCGAGAGCGCGACGAGCCCGTGCGGTACCAAGCATATCAACCACTAAGCAGAGTGCGTGGTGAGGTCTGGGAAGGACCAACACACGAGATTGACTCGGTCTCGAATAGCGAGCACTATCAAGTGATGGAAAGCCGGACACCTCCTCGCCATCCAGCCCTACGTGGAGAAAAGCACCGCTACTCTGCATCAAATGATTTGCCTGTGGACCGATTTCACGATGATCCTTATAGGGCAACGTGCCCACAACGAACGCCAACGGGGCCGGACTTGTCGGGCCATGTTGGCGCCCGGCAGAGTACTGGAAGCTTTTATACCCGCGAAGCACCGCCAACGCCCTACGAAGTCTCGTACGAAGAAGCTTACGAAATAGTCCATGTGAGGGATGCAGAGGGAGAATATGTGATCAGGCGGCCGGCCAGGTATGCATCGCACAGAGAAGACCATTCAGCAGGCAGGGACCGGGAAATACACTCGACAGCTCGACGCAGATCAGACCACACTCCGCTCCAAGAGGTCGCGTTGACTGTGCAACCGTCACTAGTTCAAATGCGACGATCTCGGGCACCCCCAAGGCAAGCACCACAGGATATCTCTCATTACGAAGAATACGATCCCAGGAACCCGGCTCCAGTTTCTCACCGTGGTGGCGGTCGCCATGTCGGATACTGAGCAAAAGCTGCTTGGTAGGGTAAGCAAGGGATTGATCGGGGTTTCACTTATTTAGAGGCCTAATCAATAGATAGATTGCTGCTTTGCTGGTCGCTAGGGCCCTGCCTGTGTAGACGCACGTCTAAGTGAGTCTAGAAATCTAGACACATAATTCGAGCGCAGGACCACATACAAGGTGCACTGAACTGAGACGTTTAAGGCTGAGGCCCTTGTATTACACACGTATTCGATTTTCAGGCACGGCAGAGGCACACACCGCTTTTAGCAACGCTGTGGGACAGATGACCCAACCGTGTGCAATGGTGTCAATCCTCACAGCATTCCTGACCGTGTCCGTGGAAACGCCAGGGACCCAACCCAGGTCCTCGTCGTGCCCATTTCGCGGATACCGAAAATAAGAAGAGTTGACAGGACTAGTGTATACAAGAGGCGCATGGTTCGCCGGAATCTGTTTCTGTTCCAACACATATCTATAACACTTCGCCAATGATCTTCGCTGCCTCCCGGTATGTCTGGAGCAGCTTCTCACACTTCTCACGCTCCTTCTTGACACCGTCGTCTTCGTACAACAGCTCTTCGAAAAGGACCTCCTTGTAAAGTTCGCTGACAAGTCGGTTTTGAACAACGTCCTTGCAGTGGTTCACCAGCAGGTGCATGACAGCCTTCGGGACTTGATCAGCGATCGACTCACGCACGATGTTGAAGTACGAGGAAATGAGTGCTCGGATAAGCTCCGTCTCCATGGCTTCCCTCTCCGTCATGGCTGGCTCGCCACCTGTCGCGCCCTGGAGTGGATGTAAGTATACGGAATACATTAAGGGGCTTGATGTGTTGTTGCCAAGACAACTTACGAATGGCGCTCCAAAGTCCACAGATCGGCTTGAGTTGGCGAAATCCAGCTCATCTTCCCGGACCGGGGGCTGGGTGGGGGTCCGCAAAGCCACCTTTTCTTCGGTCCGGCGGATGCTTTGTGAGAATGTGGGCTCAGAAGTCTGGCTTACATGGCGGGCGATGGAGGAGTTCGGCGTGGGAGACATGCCCTGGGGTGTCCCGATGGGCGAAGCACCGTCTTTGCCAAAGAAGTAGGTTAGGAACGAGTCGCGAGCACCACCAAGGCCTTGTCCGTTAAATCTGGAGGGAGATCCCGATCTTGCTCCATTCAATGCCGCATTCAGCCCAGTAGCGCCATTCTCCCGTACACCTGGGGATAGACTGCGTGCTCCCTTGCTGGCCTGCTTCCGGAGAGATGCCGAATCGGCCTTCTCGGGGGCAGTGGCGTTGGCCTCCTCGTCATCTGGTGCCTCAACACCGTTGCTGCCAAGCTCCTTCAACCTCCTCTTCTCCCGCCGTTCTCTCTCCTCCTGGATGAGGCGTTTCCGTTCTCTCTCCTGCTTGTTGCTGACAACGTTACTCATAGCTGCGGCGGCTCCCAGAAAGTTGGGATGGTTCGTGTTGATGTAAGCGCGTTGGATCGAAATGAGGGATTCTACATATGATGATGTAGGCCCCAGGCGCTCGCGCAGCAGATCGGAAACAACCTCGATCAGCTTTGCTTGCAACCGAGGAAAGCGAGAAAGCTCAGTTGAACCGCATGTGTGGCATATCTTGATTAGCTCCTCGTAGACGAGCTCGACACATCTCTGGCTGGGAATTTCAAGAAGCTTGATTTGTGGCTTCACGAGCAGGTCAAATGCCATTTCCGGCACAAACAAGCTGGGACGAGGGCCGGTGGAGTTGCGGATAGCCGTGCGGATATCCAAAGCTGAGAGGTTGGACGTTGGGTCGATGGACTCGAGAGACATGCCAAAAACCGAATTGAAGATGTAGTAAATGCGGGCGCCACCACACAGCTCCTTGGTGGAAATTTCGGTCGAGGTACCGTCAATGGATGAGATGAATGACGTAGCGAATCGTGTCATCTGTTGCAGAATGAGGGACCCGCGGTGCTCTTTGCCGCTGAAATGCATGTCGCCATAGCTCGCTAATTCCTGTTGCGTCTGACCCATCAGGGTGTTGAGTCGCGCTTTGATATCAGGCATGCGCTCGCGAATATGAGCCATGAGAGTGGTGTTCAACGTTTTGGCCAGATAGTGAGTTCCGCAGCGACTGGCAATGTTGCGGTACGCCGGATGATGGCGGAAGAAGTCCGACTCGGCCTTGAGAGCCTCTTCCATAGGTTTGTTCCCCTGGATGTCTTGCTGCGAACGGTTCACAACACCGATGAAGCCCAGCTTTAGGGGATAGACTCTGCCGGACAAGATATCCAACGCATTTGTGCCATGGTCCATGAGGTCAACCTTGGTGAGTACACCAATGGTCCTCCTTCCCAGAGGATCAACATGCCGAGCAAGCTTCAGAGCTTCCGAGTTGACGATGTCAACATTCGCGGGGGAGACGGCGAGAATGATACTGTTCGGCTTGGCAATGTATTCTGAGATGAGATTGCGCGTCTGCTTCTCGATGTCCGTGGGTTGATCACCGATGGGAACCTGTCGGATAACGTCAGAACGACGGTGTAGACGGAGTACGCTTTAGGAAGAAGTAGGTAGTACCTTTGTGAGTCCTGGTAGGTCGACGAGAGTCAAGTTGAGGACATGCGGAGAGTAAATCTTGAGATTGATAGGCTGCCGGTTGATGCCCTTATTATTGCCAGCCACACGGGACGTTTCGTTCTCGATCTCGCGCTTCACGTCGGAAAAATCGGTGAAACGGCGGTTGGGAATATGATGGAATTCGGCCCATTCGGATCGCCGGGCAACATCGGGGGACCGGTACGGGTCTTGCAGAGGATCCGCAGCGTTTTCGTCTTCGGGAACATTGATCAGTTGCAAGATCAAGGGTCGTCTGGTGACGATGCCACTTCCGCGCGGCAAGAAATCACGGCCGACAATGTTCTCTAGTACGGATGATTTCCCAGCGGACTGAGAGCCTACAACAACCTATTTGGGGGGAAAGGCACGTAAGTGAGAGGGCTTGTAGTAGGTGGGTTCGAGGACAGAATGACGTACAATTTGTGGCAGATCGAGCGAGTCGCTCCCGATAGTATTGAAGACCAAGTCTTGCAACTTGTTGACGGTCGTGAGGAGGTCGTCTCCGAGGGACGCCATGGTGCTGGGCCGAAAGTTGTGGGCGATATTCACTTGGGTGGAAGCGAGGCGAAATCGTCAATGTGCCTTTTGGGGGTTTTTCGTTCAAAACTGCAGTAGACACAGCTTCTGACGGACGAGGTCGAAGCTACCCTATGCAAGACCGAAGGGGTTGCAGAGCCGTGCAGAGCAAGACGGAGCAGCGCAGGAGCTGGGCGAGGCAGAGAAACCAGAGCACCGCACCGCACCGCACCGCACCAAAACACACGACGCAACGCAACGCAACGCAGACGAAGGGAGCAAGCGTCTTCTGGTCGAAGACTGAATGCGTCGATTGCCTCCGACTGTCGATGGGTTCCCAGAAACAGAGAGCGAAGAAAAAGAAAAAAGAAAAGGAAGCTCAGGGAGCGGCACGGTAACCCTTGGGTCTGGATGAATCAGGGAGGACTCGTTCGATATGATAGAGCCGATGTTGCTCGCGTCGTCCAATTTCAAGAATTCATGCGGTCCACAAGCCGCCTTCTCAGAGAAAGTTGGTGCAAGGGCCGTAATGCTGGCGTTTGCTGGCTATGGATACCTTGGGGGCTTAGGGGTTGCAGAGGTCCACGCCCACTACACAGACTGCCCAGTTCACGGTACGTACCCTGCTCTGTTAAGGCACCTTACGTTGAGGTCGGGTGAAGAATGACAGCATTTTCACTGGATGTGCAAGCGATGAGCCTCAGGTGCCAAGTGCCTCTGGTTCCTGAGGTATCCATACATTTGCTCGATGCTTAGCTCAGCTTTGTCCTCTAAGGGATCTGAGGTCTTGATGGGACGCCTCCAGGACCTGCAAACCTGGGCCACCCCGCGGGGGCTCATCTCAGGTGGCAGCATCGGCAATGCAGATATTCCCGACCGAAGCACACAATAGATCGATGGAATGGAAGGAAGCCGACCGACCTGAGGTCTTATGTGTCTACGATGTCACTAGTTTGTAAAGTGTTTTACCCAATAGATTGCCTTACATGTCGAAAGGATGCCCAACGTCTCTTTTATGCAGACCTAGTGCTCCCAGTCGTTCCGTGTAAGCAGGTGGCGTGGCGCGTTTTTGGGTCTGTCAAGTCAGGCTTAAAACGGCTCCAGTCCAAAGATCTTCTAACACCTCACAACTTCGGCAAGCAAAACAGCGATAACCAACAATTCGGTTCCCAAACAAGAAGGAACAACAACAGGAAGCAGAGACCATGAGTCAACTCGGTGGCCCTGGGGCCCGCCAGGCAAATGCCAAACCAATCCCGTGCGTGCAGACAGCTGCGTTCTGGTTCCTTTTGCTTTCAAATGGTAACTTACTTAACTGACCGTGGATGTTGCTCGCAGTCCACAGCGTGGGAGTTTTCCTCTGGACCACGATGGTAAGTCAAGTCAGGTCGCGGTCAATCACAATGCTCTCTAGCCGGGAACTCTCAAGTTGCTGTGCGGTACTATCCTGACGCCCATCAGGTGAATGCAAGCATGTCATTTCAAACTACCTCGAGTGCATCAAGAAAGTCCGCGGCGTCAATGACGCTCAGTGTCGCGATCTTGCCAAGTCTTACCTGGCTTGTCGTATGGATAGGTAAGATATCGACATGGATTCGTCATGTCCATAAGATCGTAAACAACCATGTTGACTTTGTCGGTGGCTCCGCAGGAATCTTATGGCCAAAGACGACTTCGAGAATTTAGGCTTCGGCAACGATCAAATGTCGGACAGCAAGGGCGGGCTGGTGCGGAAACAAGCGTCGGGAAAAAACAGCCAAGATAAAGATGAAGATGCGCGCCCTGGCGAGTTAAGGTGGTGACAAGCTGTCTTTCGCTGATTGAACTCTTCGTTGGGTACCTGGACACAAGCATCCAACGCAGCAATACAGCTTCATACTTTGTAGTATTAGCGAAGGCATAGAATGAAGACTAAGCCCCAAATCAACCTGTGCAGTTGTGGCGGAATGTTGCGCACGCAGACCCAGGAAGCTTGCCTGGTATTATCATGGGCGAAGATTATTGGAAATCATCGTGTTCATGCAGAAATCCACCAGGAACATGAAGCTTCATGCGTATGTTTTTTTCTTTTTCCCCCAGCGTGTTTACTTCTCGAATGAGTCACCTTGATCTGTCGCCCAAGGGCCAAAAAACATCTCCCAATGCTGTAGACCTGTAAGCAGCCCTTGCATTGTTGCCAGCGAACTAAGACTGTCTAGTTGTCGTGTCAGACGTGTGACGCTGGTAAACACACTTCCCGCAGGAACCTGGCGGGACGACGGGCTTGAACCGCCACTATTGCATGGCATCATTGGACAGGAGCACAGGGAATGTTCCAGCTACTCACCTCCACAGGGCACTATTTGACCGCATATTGCACCTTCAAGATCTACGCAGCACGCATACGGACGTCAATGTACACCTACCTTTACCCAGTGCTTTTCATGTCCAAGAACCTTGCTGTTCCCCGCGTGCCGAGGGAAGGTGACATTGTACAAGTACCAGGCCTGGGCCCCAGAATCGAGGCAAGGAAAGGGCGGTCGGCCTTTTCAAAGAAGCACGGTGAAGAACCCTCCCTCACCTTACCTAAGACAGACAACTCCAAGGTCCCTGAGTGACTATGGGCATGTGCCTACCTCCAAGAGCGTCCATGAACCCACAAACTCGGGAGTCATTGTTGCCGGGACAACCAACCAGCGCTGACCACATGGCCTAGATATATCTTCAATACCGCAGTTTCACGCTGGCAAATGCAAGGACGCCACCGGTTTCCCTTCGCATGCCTAAGCCCATGCCTCACAGCTTTAGCCAGCATCTCTACCTTCATAGAAAAGTCTCGCAGCAACACCAAACCCTCTTTATTGCGTGCCCTCCCCCGCACAGTCACTGGACTCCTTCTTCCATCTCCGCACTCACAATCTCCCCGCCGACTCAACATCTGTCTCTGTGTATGAGCATTCTCGGTGCCCGCCGTGCCTCGATTCCATCATGCACCGACGGAGAAGTGCGGAAAGGACGAGGAAAGTTACGCCTCCGTCTCCAACGTACATGAACAACGAGCAATTCGGTGAGGATCAATTCTACGCAGTAGAGTTCCACTTCCCATCTATTGCTAACGTCGCGACTTTCTAGCTGCATACCTCGCCAATCTCAGAACGAACCGTGTCGCTCGCCCTGGTGGCGCGAGACCACAACCTCCATCGTCGACGGCCAGGTCCAAACGTCCCTCTCACGACCAGCCGAACCCCTCTGAACCTCTTTCCCGTTCTGGAAGTCCTGCTGTGTCGATCCCCAGCTCTGTCGACATCTCCGCCCGACCAAGCCTTCCTCAGGCCAATGCCAGCTTTTCTTCCCGCTACTCCATGTCCAGCATCTCCGGCCGCGATTACTACCCTCCCCGTTCTGCGACACCTTTGAAGCCTTCCGAGGTTGTACCCACCGACACATATATGGAAAGAGGGCAAAGATGGATGGAAAAGGAAGAAGCTGTATCCCTCCGTCAGGCTATGGACGATATGCGCATCAAGGACGACAATGGCGACGGAGCTTGCCTTTCCAATGTCCAAGGCGATGCCACTAGTACCCAAGACGATGATCAGAGAATCTATAATGCTGCTCTTGACGAAGCCTCAGAATTGGTCTGGCAGCATCGGAATGGGGTTGCTCCTCCCGATCCCAATGCGCCATATCGATACAAGCCTCACCTGAGGAAGAACAGCTACGCCCACGCGCGCACTGCTAGTGTGGGAAAATACGGCAATGAGATTGGGCCTTCTGGGCTGGCTAGAGACACTACACGGTCGTTTTCAGGCAGTTCCACTGACAGCGACGGACGTCCTTCTTTGTCACTGTCGCGTGATAGCTTTGGAAGAGAGGGGAAAAGCCCGGAACGCCCCTCCATGGACTGTGAAATATCTGGTCCATCCGGCGCCATGTATTCCAATTCTGGGGTTGCGTCCGTCAGCCGCCGCCGCAGCAGCATGAAACGCAACATCAGCGGCGAGGTAGAAAAGCCGTTCTCAGGGGATCAAATCTGGGAGGAGCCCGAGGTCAACAACCGTCGAGGAGCACCGAAGCCCAAATCGGAGGCTGTGCCGGATCTTCCTCTCGTGGACAAGCCAAAGAACCCTCAAAGCCAGGTGCGCTTCGCGGCTGGGCCGCCAGCTGACCGTGTGGCGCCGTGGAAGCCCAGATGCAAGGTTGAGATCCACCGCAACCCGCCTTCCCAATCGCGGAACCCACAGTACACGACCAATACGTCATTCCCAAAGCCTGCAGCGGATGGAACCGTGCCGAAGAAGAACGGGATGGAGATTCGCAGCGACGATATCAGGGGAGCTACCAGTATGAAGCTGAAAGATCGCAGCGCGAAGCTGCCAACGCCCACGGCCGTCAGTGATCGACCTGGACGGCCGATTGTAAGCTTCGACTCGAACTGGAAAGCTCCGGACGAGAAAACTGATGCAAGGCCAGGATCGGCTTTCGGCACCTCCGACACAGGAGCTTCCAGCCAAAAGAACCAGCCGGTGGAAATTCCTTCTATCGTGGTGGCGCCGGAGGATTTCTCGACGGACGGGACACGCCGGGTCCCGGCCGTGCCATCAATAAGTATCGCCGGCGCTGACGAGCCGGCTGCAACGAACACAAGTATACCTGTTATTGTGACTCCTGACGACGACAACGCAGCAGGAGCACCACGGCCCCTGCCCGACCCTAAAGCTGTCCCAGGTAGAGGACGACCTTTTCAACGCCCACAACGTCACTGGTCACCAGCACCCGGCGCTGGGCATCGCTCGACTACTCTATGCCACGAGTGTGGATTTCCTATTGAGGGTAGGTTCGTCTCCCTGGCCGGGCTGACAGAACGTTTTCATCCCCAATGTTTCAGCTGTTTTGCCTGCGGTACTGGTCTCGAAGCTCTAGAGATCAGCCCCGAGCCAGAGGCACATCGTCAGAACCGCTTGGACAGGATCAGGCGTAGGGAGAACGGCGAGATGTTGGACGAGACACCGGGCGAAACTGTGGCCGAAGACGGCGATGAACGACTGCGATTCTACTGCCATCTGGATTGGCATGAGCTTTTTGCACCAAGATGCAAGCACTGCAAAACGCCTATCCTCGGCGAGCACGTGGTCGCACTCGGTGAACATTGGCACTATGGCCATTTCTTCTGTGCCGAGTGCGGGGACCCCTTCGAAAAAGGCATGACACATATTGAGAAGGACGGATATGCTTGGTGCATCAACTGCCAGACCAAGCGAACAGAACGAAGGGCACCCAAGTGCAAGAAGTGCAGATGCGCCGTCATTGGGCAATACATCAGGGCCCTAGGGGGTGAGTGGCATGACGAATGCTTCCGCTGCGCCGCGTGCAATGGAGGCTTTGATGATGGCCAAATCTTTCCGAAGGACGACGGAGAGAAGACGATTGTGCTTTGCACGCGATGTCGCATGATGGAACTCAAGGCGTAATGAATCACGACGGAACTTTTTCGACATGGATTTTGGGAGTTGAGGATTTAAAGGTAGGGGTAGCGATGGAGTAAAGATTCGGCATCGTGTTTTTGTTTTGGGCATGCATCACTCAGGGCGAGGCGTTTTGTAAGCATCGATAAACACGAGGATGGAATGAACGTTTGCGTGAATGTCATAATCATCATGGACTGTCTTGATATGGACTCTGTGGACGTGCGAGCCAGACCATCCTTCCACTGAACTCCTTACCCACTATTGAGAGTCCCTAGCCGCTTCGCAAAGGAAACCCGTTGCTCTCCACCAATAGATACGCCGTTACTCCTCGCGATCCATCATCTAGTTGGAACCACCGACTTGTTCCTGGTGAACTTCAAGAGTATCGCCATCTGCCATCTCAAGCTGTTGGGCAGCTTGGTCAGCATCGATGCCTCGCTGAACTCGCAGTGTTTCTGATTGTGCTGCTCAGCACTTACCGTGTCCGGGGTGTCCGTGGGTTGCACTCGCTGGCCCTCGAACAAGAAACGAACAGAGCTGATCGCCTTGCCCTGCCTCTCGCAAAAAGCAGTCATCAGCTTCTCCAGCTTAGTTGACCGCTTGATCTTGAAGAAGACTTCATTGTTGTTGTCTGTGACCTTGATGTTCAGGTGCTCGACGGCGGGGGGGGCATCTTGACCGCCAGCGGCGGGGGAGCCGTTCTCGTGTTCTCCAGACATGGTCTGTTTGCCAAGCGCAGTCGCGCAGAAGTTAGCCAGCTGGGTCTGAGGATCTGGGAGATGTCGTGAATAATCGCGGATTTTGCACATACGCTTGCGAAAGACGCGGATGAGACGATTACGTACGTCGAGAGCTCACTGTTGAGGCCCGTGAAGTGTGTTTACCACAGTGTGGAAGGCCGGCGCTTGTGTCGTGTGGAGGTTGTAGGAAACGTTGGCGCGAAGCACGTTGAAGAAGGCAAGCACGCCTGAGCTATCGCCGAGCGAGAAAGAGGGATGTGGAGACGGAACGTGCTAAGTAAGATAGGTAGGTAGGTACCTTACCTCAAGGTAAGGTGTACAGGTAATGGAAGCGTAAAATACCTGCGGCACCTAGGTACTGCGTAAGTGGCACTTGGGCAGGCAGGCACCTTGGGAGAAGAAGGTGGGACGCAGGCCTCTTGATTGGACAAGTTGCCGGCAAGGTTTTGTGAGGCTCCCCCGCGCTTGTGGTCCCAAGCGTGGTGCTGGAGCCTTGGAGGAAAGGTAAGCACACACTCAGTATATATCGATGCCCGGCTTAATCTGCTACCAAAGCAGACAAGACAAATACTGAGGTACGTAAGCACTGCTTTCCGCGAAGTAAGGATTTCCGAGCTCGGCATAGGTTGGACAAACCTGGAAATTTGGACGCAGGGTTGAGGGGCGACGGTAGGAAATCAAGAAGTTGCGGCTCCCTTGGCTCATGTTGGTTCATCATCCCCTTAGTAAGCAAGCAGATCGACACCGAGGCCGCGGCCGAACATGTCTGCTTGACGTCAGGCACTCGCCTTCCACAAGACTTAATCGACCCCGTCGCCGCACAAATTATCTTATCAAACTGCCTACAAGATTTTCAAGGGATCGGCTATTCCACTGTACGCGCAAATTCGTGTCGCTCGTGAGAGGAGACCGCCATAATGGTGAGCGGACTTCCAGATCCTCCCATTTTCCCTACCGACTGACCGTTCGTCGTAGGGCTTGAAAGAGGACTTGAAGGCAAACCCTCCATGTCATCCTCGAGCTGTGAGTCACTTTGATTATCCGCATTGGCCGGCACACATGTAGCGTATGACTGACAACCTGCTCTTGATGGCGAAGTGCGCAATACAAGGTCAGACCCAGGCCCAATTGACTGAGCTGCTCACGCCGTGGCATGGTATGATGATACTAATCCGTGCTTGGGAGACAGACTGTTTGGCCAAGAATGGATACAATGAAGACAAGTGCCAACCGGTCATTACGGCCTTATATGAATGCTGCGAAGCGTTTTACCGCTCCAAAGGCGAAGGCGCGAATTCAGCTAGCTGTCCCAAGCCGCATTTGCTCCAGTTGAAGTTGGCAAGACTCCAGGAGACGTCACAGTCGAAGCGTTGAGCACGAAGGTGATTGAACCGTGAGGAGGTTAAGAGGTGCGGCGTTGATCGATAGTCAGGGCGAAGGGGTTGGGGTATGTGCCGCTCTTCCTTCTATGCGTCAACCCGAGTTAAAGGTGAATTCTGGCAACATTACGAAAGATGGCAGTTTGATCTAGGCGTTCATTAGCACGCAAGAGGACCCGTAGGACCTGAACAAGCATTGAGTACTTGCTCCGAGACTCTAATATGAAGGCCTTGACATTGATGAGAAAGAGAGAAAATTTTGGCAAAACACCGACGTCGAAAATTCAAATAAAGGTGTGCTGAGCGGGTCCGTACAGTGCATCCCGCTGGCGCCAGTCATGACCCAATGCATGCTCGAGGGCTCCCTGCACTGTGTTGACACTGACCGCTCCCCCAAGGCATCTTGTAAGTACGGAAAGTGCCTCTAAATTAAGGCAGGAAGCACCTGCCTCTCAAGCAGCGTTCAGTGCTTCCACAGACGCGACCACGTCGTGCACAGACCAGCATAGAATCCATCCTCAACCCATCGCGCTAGCCAACCGTCGCTGTCGCCTACCAAAGGCAAGTCCATGCCTACTGGTTGTTTTTAGAGGTCTAAAAGTCCGCGTTTGATCAGCTACGATATTCCGAATGCTCCAGCGTCTCACCACGCCAATTTTCAGCAACGGGAAGAGCTACCGAGATCTCTAAAGACTGACACCCGGTCTTTGGGGTAGGCCACAGCAGCACAACTTGCGCTTTAGCGGACTGAAGGAGACCGATTGCTTTCGCCGAATTTTCCAGCTTTGGGCCAAACATTCAGCAGCGCCGACCTGACATCTTGGCCTGTACGAAGCGATACCGAACAGCAGCATCTATCCGCAAGAGGTGTGTAGCGGTGACTCTGCGCTCGGGGGGTTGAATCTCCAGCTTAGATTTCCCACTCCCTCTCTCAACCTTGTTCTGTAGCTAATTATTTAATATTACAGGATTGCAGCGGAAGCCGATCATCCAATGTGCCGCCCACCACGCGAAGAACCGTCCACCTAGATTTTACGACGAGTTTCCACGACTCACACCTACGTTGAGTTTGCGGAAATACAATAAGTTCATCAAGGTTTACCAATCGACCATGGACATGCAGATCGGACCCGAGATTGAGGTCTTCGCAAATGCGCTCGATGATTGTCTTTCCCCTCATGGATCAGTCGAGGCCAAGCGCGAGCGGATATTGGGGCTGGTAAACGCCTACTATGACTTCACGGGTGAGAAGTTGGCGCACCTGCGCAACCAGGCGCGTCAAGGCTCGGTTGGCGACACCGAGATGGATCTCGACGAGGACGAAGAATCCGAACCGACCCCAAGCTTAGAGGATATCCGGGCTTGGGAGCAAGAGAGGCAAACCTGGGATCTCCTTCGCCGTCTGATACCTTTGAGATATCCCTCGAATAGCTCGAACAGCAAGCAGGCATTTGGCATCATGCAGAGGACTCAGCAAACCGATGATCTGTGGAGCGAATTTTTGTTCGATGACCCACTGGCGATCGAGAGGAAAACCGTGTTGGAATGGCTACAACAAGGGGCAAGAAACGGGCCTGACATTGACGACCTGGTTCGGGAGCTGCAGCAGAATGCTGACAGAGGCGACATTATTGCCCATGGATGGATTCACACGAGATCTGCGATCAAATTGCAAAAGGGCGTCAGGGGATCTGCCCGTCCCCTGGACGTTGAGTTTCCCGAAATTGCGCGCACACTGCTCAACTCTGACAACGCTCCACTCGTCGCCGAGCTTGATCCCGATGCCGTGACGAGACAGGAACGAAAGCTGGAGCCGCAGGACGAATTTTTCGAGCGAGCGATATGGGTTGGCTGCTTCCAGCTGCTTCGGAGGGGCAGCAGTCTACAAGCCATGAGAGAATGGTGTTTGGAGAGAACCGAGGTTTGGAGGGCAGTTTCAATGTCCGCGCTGCCTCTTGCGACTGAGCACGGCGAGTCAAAATTCGTGGTTGACCCATCCGCTCTCGCCCTCTGGAGACGCATGTGTTTTGCTCTTGCTCGTCAAGGTGGTTCTGATGACATCGAGAGAGCCGTTTACGGAGTGCTATCAGGAGACATCCCTAGCGTACAGAAAGTATGCAAAACGTGGGACGATTTCTTGTTCATGCACTATAACGCCCTCCTCCGTACCCAGTTCGATACATTCGTGCTGAGTCGTTGTCCGCCGGAAGTATCAGCTTCCCTTCGTTCGTCGTTCGCCGCGTTTGACGCCGTTCAGTTTCACGGCGACGCAACGACGCTGGAACAGCGTCTGGTAAAATCCTTGGAAACCAGCCCTTATACGAGCAAAGAAGCCTTTGAGCCGGCCAAGGCTCTACAAGCTGCCATCATCTCGAGAGACCTCGAACAACATTTCTACGAGCAAGGCATTGCTGTCACCCAAAAGGCCAATTCGGAAGAGCCATCTGTGCTAATGCCCGACGACAACTGTCGCAACATTCGTGTGGCTCAGGAGAAGTTTGCCGATGTCCGTACCCCCGATCGCCTGCGGCTGGCTGTGCATGCCCTCATCATTTTCTCGACGTTAGACTCCCTCGGAACACCGTCGGCTTCCGCCACATTCAGCGCCGACTATGACCGCCGCGAGCTGCAGGAAAATACGATCACAGCCTATGTCAGCTTGCTACGATTAGCGGGTTACGACGAGCTGATCCCTCTCTACTGCTCCAGGATTGCCGAACCCAGGTCTTTCCAAGTCTTAAGCACGAACATATTGCCAATCACTGACCACGACTCTCGTCTCGTCCAGCTCAGTCTGATCCGCAAAGCGGGGCTAGATGTACTCAAGTTTGTCAGAATGCAGCCAGAACTCTTATTCAAGAACTTGGAGGGCGAGACTTCGGATGGTAATCTGGACAAGGGTCGGTTTCGGATCATGGAGAACGAACCGGCATCTCTGAAATATGGACGCTCTATCAAAGCGGATTTTTTTGGGGAAGATCCAGAGACCATTGACCCATCCGACGATCGTCTCATTCGCTCCGTTGAATGGCTCTTGCTTGTTGAGGAAGCCTGGCCGGACGTCTTCGTGGTCGGCGTCTCGGTCTATAAGTATTTCCTCAGTACGTGTTTCGAGCCTTGACCAACGCATTACATTGACTAACAAGGGCCAGAACATATGCGTCTAAATGCCGCAAGGAGCTTTGCGAACCGCGTGCCATTCAGCGTCATCATGCGACAAAAGATCGATACCTCCGACCAGGATGAGATCGATGCCTTGTCCGAGGATGTAGAGTTCTGGGCTAGCCATGTCAGACCGGCGGATGCAGCCCGATTGTCGGCGGGCCAGCTTGCCTCAAACGCACGAACTTTACGCGACCTTGAATGTCTTGTCAAGGCTTTGGACACGATGGAAACTATCGCATCGCTTGCGGAGCTTTCTAAAGAGTATGGTTTCCTGCCCACGTATTGTCACGCGTCACTCACAATTACCAGGGACCCGTCTGTAAAGAGAGATTTCTGGGCCAAGGTGAGCAACGAAGTCAAATCCGCAAAGGATCACGTGCAGCCACTGCTGAAGAATTGGCTTTTGGGCCAGGGTAAGTTGACAAAGCCTACCTTTCTTGCTGGCCACGTAAGCTTATTTGGTTTTCAGACGACCCAGACTTGGAGCTTCTACGGGACCTGTACTTGCCTGAGACTCTTCTCGCCTACGTTAGCACACTGCACTTTGCTGGCACAACCTTGACCAGGGACAACTTCTTGGAATGTATGGAACTTGCGGCTACCATTGCTGAAAAGGAATCAGACCTTGCCCCATGCCTCATCAAGGCCAATAGGATGAAGGAGTTGGTGGAGGCTTTTGCAGCCTGCAGCAAGGCGCTTGCAATAGCTTCAGGGGAGAAGAAAGCAGCCGGTTCAAGCAGTAAAAAATTGCGGGAAATGGGTTGGTCGCGGGATCTCTGGTCAGTCAGGCCTTGATGACGAGACGTAAGTAAGACAAGCGTTCGTGTCCACCCGCAGCTGTATAACGTCTACATTGGTAAAGGAAAAGGAAAGAAACCGGTCGCTTGATTAGCGGGGCATATGGGCTAGGGAGTCTGGGTTGCGGAAAGAGCATGTGAAATACCATCAAGAAAGCTTAATGTACGAAGTAGGACACGTAAAATCTGTCTATTTGCTCACATGGGATTCCGTTCACGTTCGGATGAGCGATAATTCGAGTACGTAGGTTACGATGGAAGCTACAGGCACACCAGGTAAGATGCTTATGTAAAGCTGTCCACGGGTCCCGTCTTACCCACCGATCCCCGGGCCGTCACCCGACCCCAGTAAACAGCACGGACATCGAAGCACCGAGTTGCCGACTCAATCGTGCTGACGTCGGTTGACCAAGTTGAGCATCATATTGATTTCTGTAAGCCTGCCACGGCAGAAGATCAATCGCCAGTTACGAGGGTATCTAGCTTTGGTCGTCTTATAGATTCTACCCCTACTCTCTTACGTCCACAGCCGGATACGTCGAAACAATCACGCTATGCACGCTCCTACACCTCCGTCGCTCCCGCCCAAACCAGGCAGCCACGACACCAGCCGTATCGGCACGCCCGTCACTTCTAACTCACCTCGACCCGGCGCCGGCTCGGGCATCAATTCTGAAGGGGCGGGCGGCGCTCGTGGATCTTTTGCCCATCAGCAAGCCGGTCTCGAGTTCGCGCGACCAGAACCCATTCCAGACCCAGGTGATCAATGGCTTCCAACAGCGTTGCAAGATAAGTCGTATGACACGACCGGTGAAGGTACGGCCTCATCCACAACTAATAGTAGCTGCAGGAAACAGGATCTGGCCGACATAGTGACGGACCCCCGAATTCTGAGCGCTCTCACTCATGCACCGAGCACAATTCATCCTTCGCTTGCTGCTTCTCATCAAGCTCTTCAAGGAGCCCTGGCTGAGAATCTTGAACTAGCGTCGCGCCTGATCGAACTTGAGGCTAGACTAGCACAGCAGCGATCAACGACCCAGGCTCAACTTCTCTCTACGCATGCGTTGGAACGACAGTGGCGACAGAAGCAGTCCGATATGGACCACGCTCTGTCACCTTTCTCGCCAGCTTCCCTGTACCAAAGATTGGGTCAAGGGGTGCACGAACAAGCTTCTATTTGCCACGTTCTAGAGGAAAGCTTCATCGATGGAGAAGGGGATGGTGCATTTGCGTCTGAAAGGGAAACGCTGGATTGGATCAAACGGTATAGAGATGCCAAAGTGCTCCATTACCTGCGGCAAGAGAGAAAAGAACGGTGGGACGAAGGTCGTGTTGGAGGCTGGAGGTAATCATATGTCAACCCGGTGGGAGGTTTACTGCCTGTCGAATGTCTTAGTTCAGAGTGGCAAGTGAATATGGCAAGCTGCTACTGGGTCATACTCACGGAAGCATGCGTTGGGAGGGCTTTCAAGTAAGCCGACCACCTCGAGTAGATGAATATCCAGAAGGACAGCAATGATCCACTCAGCGCGGGACGTTACATAACACCGAACAAGCGAGTAGGAACGGTCGGAATTTCCTACTTGGTCAAAGATACTGTCGGAGCCTAGACATACTTGCCCAGTATATCTGCAACTATGTAGGAAACATACACGCCAGGAATACACCCCATGCCATGCGTAACCAATGACGTCCCAGACGAGTAAGCATGTAATAAATAGTATTATATGCCTAAAGCTACTCAAGGCTGAATGGACTTCGTCCCATGTCGGGGCTGCGGGGGCTCATAGGAAGCGCAAAGAGATCTTCTTCTTGGTCGTAATCATTCCCCTCCATGCAGGCTTCGTTGTTACCCAGTACAGCATCCAGCGAGGCGGCAGCATCGCCACGAACCTTGGAATGGCCCTGCGGTGCAAAGGTCGGAAAGGAGGAAACTGCTACATCATTCGAAGCGGGCGAGAAGGATATGGGTTGAAGGTAGGTGTTTTCCCCTAGCAAGCTCAGATTAGGTTTGGTTCAACGGCGCAACTACAAGATGCCGGCGGGGATCTTACCAGCCCGGCCAACCACCAGGTCCGCCGCCGATGTTGCCAGCTTTAGTCCCTTGAGCTTCTGACCGAGCTTCCCTCCGACAGGTGATTTGGGCGACATAGAACTAGACGGAGCCCGGGGTGCAGGTGCAATCGCCGGCGCACTGCCACTGACACCCATATTGACTTTGAGGTTCACACCAAAGTGTTCAACGATCCACTGGCGCTCCTGGTAGGCTATCTCTAGCCCAATGCCTTCTGAATTTGTCTTCATTTCAGAAACGATTTCGTCCTCCAGCTCGGCAAGTCTCTTCTTGGCCCAGATAGTATGCAATATGCCTCTTGCACCAATCGCTGAGCTTCCAGTACCTAGGCCTGGAGGGAAGATGGCCGGCATTGACTTGGTGGTGAAAGCAGTTCCATCTGGGTGCGCGATGGTAATGACGGAGGGGACGGCTGCCCCGGGTGGCAGCAGGAAATAGACACGCTTCTTCTTCCCCGTCTCTTCATCTTCGACCGGCGCATGACTTGTTTTGCCTTCCCACGAAACTTGCCAGGTCCCCGAAGCAGACAGCAATGACTGCGGACCAGAGGAGGCATTCCATTCCACCATGAGTATCTTTGTGCCATCATTGCCCCTGCCCGCCTGAAACTCGAAACGAGCTAGAACAGGCAGATCTGAAGTTCCAGGATCAAATGGAGGTTCATGCAAGGGGCGATTAGATCTGTACCGTTCGGCGTGGAGATCGGGAGTCGGCGCGGAAGAAGACGGCGATGCGGGCGACTGGGTCACACTCGGCCCGTTCATTGCGTTTTGGCTTTTTCTTTCCACCTGGGGATGAGCCGAGATCTGACCCTGACACGGCGCGGTGCGGGGCGCGGCGAACGCGGAATACTTGAAGACCGGGACACTGACGCGAATGACAAAGGCTACTCATGCACGGCAGACAAGCCTGTCGTTTTCAAAACCTCTGACAAAGGCGACAACTTGACCGAAGTCCCGGTGGCCTACTGAAAAGGGGACACCAAACGTGGCTGGGAAAGAGATGGGTTGAATGCAAAAGGGGGGCAGGGGGCTACGAGGCCGCTGGTGAATGTGCAATTCAACACCTTCAGTGTTGGTTAGACGGCTGGAAACGTGGGATGCAGGAAGAGATACCGAACCAGAGACCGGCGAGTAGAAAGTGATGCAACGCGGGCTACACCTCATTGAGGGATGTTGGATCACGGCTGAGGCGAGACCATGCATTTCGCGTAGGAACCCGAAGTGTGGATGATTGGTTCATTGGGGACCAACGTAGGCTGATCATGCCGGGGCAGGTACAGATAATGTGGCAAGTATTCCCAAACGCGTTGCCCGTTGGATGATCCAGAACCAGTTACCAAGTCTCGACTCCCCACTAGCAGGCAGAGCAAAGACGGGAGCATGCTTGGGCATTCACGGTCGCTGCCGTATCGTGCGACGGGAAGAGAAGGGTGCCAATGCCTTGGCGTGGGGACGATGCCCTGGAGGTAGGTAGTGGGGTGCTTTTTCAACGACTTGAGAGTCAGAGAGAGTGCTATTAGGCTTCAAGGTATCAACAAACATCCTGCCCGCATGTTACTGCGCGGAGAGAACGCGGAGTACCCAATATGGAATTACTGGAGAATCACATCCGGGTTCACTGCCGCCTTTGTCACTTTGTATGGAGCGTAATGTAAGGTAGACTGGAGAAGTGGAAACCGTGACGAACGGAAGACAATCAAAACGAGGGCTGCAGAGGAACGGGGATCCCTTCTGCTACACGGGACAGCTCTACGTTTACTATTAATCCACGTATGGCCGATTCTGACATGGTGTCTGTCAAAGGTGTTTCTGTGTCCGTAAGAAGGTGACATCTGGAAAGTTGGTGGTGAACGGTGGAAATGTGTATATCATGCCTGCACAGCTGGCCTCCTTGCCTTATCTAACATGACCACAAGGAAAGGATCTAGTACGGTATCCGCATCCGTGTCGACTGCGTATCTTAGGTAAGTGCGTCTGGACGGGTATGGCTCCGATAGCCGGAAACCTACAGAGACCAATGTGTCTCGTCCGCGACGCAGTGCCATGAGGTGTACTCAACGCAAGACCGGAAAACACGTTGAGCGGATGTGAAAACGCCATAGAAGGGAGGTGGCAGAGAAAGGCCGCGGTAGGCCCGAGGGGCGCTCGCAGGCTAAGGCACCCACACGAGTAGACGGGACGGTGGGCACGGTTCAAGGTAACCTCGCACCATCCTGACTCCCCCGCCTATTCCATGCCCCAAGGTGAGGTAAGGTACCTTAAGGTAGGTAGGCAAGGTAAGGTACCTTACCTAGTGAGCGTATCCGTAGGCGATTCCCCAGTGTCCAGAATCCACCGTCCCCAGCCCGACGTCCGCAACCCCGCTAGCTCCTTGCTGCTTGTCCCATCCGAGACGGCGCTAAGCTGATCGAGTCGGTTTCATCGCTTCAACTTCGGCGACTTCGGTCGAATCTGCCGCGTCCATGGCCACAGATACCTGCTCATCCATCCACTCGCTGGTTGGCCATACCGATATCTAGGCACCTTACCTGCATGCCTACCCCACGATACCTAGGTAGCTGGTCATGTGTTTGATCAGATTTTCCCTACCTGAGGTATGTACAATAGTCGCATCATCAAGCCATGGGATGCTGGTGTTAGCAATCTACGACATGCAATTAAACATCATCACCGTCATTGTGGCCGTACATCTTGCAGCGTCCGTCTCTAGGCGTAGCTCCGCAATCCAGCCGCCCGCACATGAATGGTTAGGCCCGCCAAACCACCGAGCCCAGATCGGCGGCGCCGGCCACGCCCGGTCAGTCTGTTGGTCAAGTGTATTGATGCTCCGGGAGGCAAAAGTGAAGATGCTCTACGGAAGCCGACCCACCACCCGGGGACACAGTTCCCATGTTGCGCCGGGTTGTACTATGGGTCACATCAAGCACGCAGGGCTCTTTGCACCGTAATGGTCCCGAGTGATCGCGCCGAATCGGCAAAACCCAGTGGCACAAGTTGGAAGTTTCAGTCGCACACGATAGATACTCGGGTAGGGTGTCAAGAACCACATGTACAGATTCGTCCAACCACTAGCAACCAAGCAAGGCAATGAATGAGGCTCAAGCCATGTAAGGATTTCTTCCTCTCCTTAGTTGGAAGTCCGACTTGAAGCGACGGTGCTGCGACTCGTACTGGCACGGCAGAAAACACTATCCTCATTTACCTTACCTCAAGGTCAAGTAATCGCATTGGGACGACCGACTTCCTATTACAAGCACGAGCGTCTTGCAAATGCACATAGTGGCCATCAGGCGAATGTCACTGGCGAGATCGAGAAATTTAGAAAAAGGAACTTGAGTGCGCCTGTACGGCGACGCAATTGTGGGGTAGCAGCGCTCCGTCCGGTCACTTTTACGGTGTTTTACTCGGCCGCTTTTTCTTCTTTCCCGCTTTCCACCGTGCCAGCCTGCATCGCGCACGCTACACACAGCCTTCCCCCCGACGGGCGACCCATCAGCTTGATTTTGCAAGCTAAGGACGAGCAACTTTCTGCACTGAGAACGTACAGTGCCTCGAAACTGTGTCTAGGTCGGCCCCCCTGAATAAGTAAGTGCCCTCTCTCACTTGGGCCTCTCCACTAATTCGCCGCACATACCGCCGGGCCACCCAGAATCAGCGAACGGCCGATCCCTCTCTCGCGACTCGTTGTAGGCGCTCGTTGACGGTCTCATCCGGTCCAGTGCCACTGCCACTGGACGCCTACGCACCTGGAAAAGGCGTTATGCAAAGCGCTGCTGTGCTGGACACAGCGCCCCTTTGCCCGAGGAACTCACATCACTCCCAGCACACTACAGTACTTTAGGCTGCCGACCACTATTCGGGACAGAGCACTGAGATACCAACCTAGAGGTATAGAGAGAAGGAGAAGGGAGGGAGAGCATAGCCGACCGATGGGACTGGGACTACAGCACCCAGACTCAGGTAAGGTACCTTTGCCAAGTGCACACATACTCACACCCATTCCCACATACACTCTGCACACCTCTTCCTTCTCTCTTCCTCCAGGCCGGCTGCATTGCTCTCTCCCGCTCCCGCCCCCTCGCTCATCCTTTTTCCCTGACACCTTCGCCAAACCCAGCCAACATCGTATCTCACCTTACGGCCAAACGTCACCCGAAAATCGGTCAACGACCATCTTCGACATTGCCGCCGCTGCCGACTTCGACTCTCTGCGCGCTCCCTGTTTGATCGAGATCCCACGATTTCGCGCTTAGTGCGCGCCAGACTCGTCGAAGAAAGGCCGATAGTTTACCGTGCCTCACCAAACTACCGACCCAACCTTTCCGTTGCCAACGTTTAACCAATCCGCTTCTGCGAAACTCGTTCCCTACGTCCCTCGATTCTATTGTCACAACGATTGCCAAATGCTCAGCCATGCTTGAGACGCGAACGTCCGGCTTTGTCGACAATTTTGTTCCCTCGCTTGGCCTTCTCCGCATCGACTAGAGACGATCAATCGGGCACCCTTATGCTGGGTTCTCTAGGCTTCAACCCTTCCACCCTACTGCATCATCGTCCAGTACGGTAGCAGGAAAATGGATCCGCCTCATCTCACCGAGTTCGCTTCTCAGCGCTATTTCACGAAACTCGATCAACTCAGAGCAGCTCAGGAAGCTCATTTACCGTCTCAGTCTCGCGATCCTCACCTCCCTTCGCCACAGTCTAACTCTTCTCATCATACGACTTCGCAGCCGCCATCCACCTTTATCCTTCCCCTCCGTAGCTCCAAAGCAACCGAGGCCGATGTCGAACTCGTTCGGCCCGCAGATCAGAAGCGTCACGAGAAGAGTCGCCTTTTCGGCCTAAGATCAAAGAGTTCCATATTTCATTCCAAGTCCTCGGCAACACATGCCGAACTGCCAGAGCAAGCCGGAGGTTGCTCGAGGCCAAAGACGTTTGTTACACCTTCCTAAATCATAAATCCATGTTTCGTTTGCACTGTTTCTGACAAAGCACAGGCTCCCGTTTGATCAACTATTCCTTGATTTACCCACCGAGCTTCAGATCCAAATCATATCGTCATTGCCATTGACGGACGTCCTCAACCTACGCCGGGTATCGAAGGCATGGCATACACTTATAACTCTTAACGAGGCGCCTATAGTTCGTTATCACCTGGATCACCACATTCCAGCATACGCTCTGCGACTCTATCCTTCGAGAGATCCTTCTGCTGCCAACTTCCACCATCTATGCGGTTTATGGCACCGTCTCCATGTGGCTGCGAAGCTATCCTTCCTAATGTGTGAATGGATCACCAAGGAAATATTCTTGCGAACAACAGATGCCCAACGTCAAGAGTTTGCCACCCAACGTGAACGAATGCGTCGACGACTAATTCCGCTTTTGTTCACCGTGTTTCATTTCTTTGAGACGTACAGAAAACTACATTTGCAACATATTGTTGATCATGGGGGCCATGGTCTGCTGCATGAACCCTATACTTTGAACCCTATTGAGGTCAAGATTATGAACATGTATGACGACCAGACGTTGCTACGTGTTCATCAAGTCTTCCCCCTCATAATCTCATCATTCTGTCGACGATTACGTCCCCCTTCGTATGCCGGACGCGTTGAACGATCGCTGAGGGGTTATTTGAAAGAGAAGCCAGCCGACGAAATCCACGTTGCGATCCTTTGCGTGGGTGGTCTACGACAGGTTGAGAGGCTTTGGGAGATCAAGGGATACAACAGCAGAAGAGGGGCGGTTGACGAATGGTATAATGCAGTAGCTAAAGATGCTGTTGAGTCACCGGCCCCGAAGCAAAGACGAGGTATCATGGGACTCGGGCGCAAGAAATCATCACTATCAGTCAGAGATTCCACCAAAGGTTCACCGCAGGCAGGGCTTCCGGCACGACGCACTTCTCGAACATCTCTAGACGACACTGCAGAGCCTTGCGATAAGAACCTGATATTCAATACTAGTCTCGCGGCAGGCATGCCGATGGGGCCTCTGGGACGGGATCAGGTTCGCCGCGTACTTGAGGACTTACCAAGCCTTCAGCAAATCTGGATGACGACGGCGGAGGCTCTCATAATGGAACGCGGTATTGTTGAGCGTACGCAGGACATAAAGCGAAATGCCCAGGTTATGCTGGAACTGATTCGAGACGATGGTACGGAAGAGGAGGATGAATGGTGGTATGGACGAAGCACACCTGAATCTGTGCGCCCCCCACTTGAAGCTATAGAGGAAGACTCTATTGATGGCGTTTGAGAATGCCTGGGCATCTTCAGCATTTACTGGCGTTTAGGTCGGCGAGGGTGGCGGCCATGGGAAGTTGACGCGCGGAAAAGCTCAGCCTGGCCGTTCAGGGTTTTTTTGTTTTTTCCCTTTTGTCATTTCCCCCGTAACCTATCTGGTTATTCTTCTTTGTCGGGATTCAGCATGGAGAGGCACAAACAAATGGAAGAGACAAAGGCGTCAAACTGTCTTGAATTCTCTTGGCTTATTTCAAAAACCGATACTCCTGGTATCTATCTATCTACCTGCAGACAAAATCATGATATCCGTTTGGTCAGGACGAACACTGCCTTACACTAACACAAGTTCGAATAAGTGGTTCCAGAAAAATCATCGTCGTGGAACTTCGTGACACTTTTAATCAAGCATCTGTACAGACACACCGTGAGGCTGCTTTGATGTTCAACTGATAACTAGGTTGGAAAGGTCAGTCCTCATTAGCGCCATCAAAACCCAAAGAGAGGATACTACAGAAGCTTGCAACTGCTCCCTACTGACGGCGCAAAGTATGATACATTCGTTCTCTGAGCGTGGATTCCGTCACGGACCCATCAAAGGATGCCGAATGGCTGATCTCAGAAGCTGTGTGGTATGGTGCACCAAGTGACGATGATGGCCGCTGTACAGAGGTGCTGGTCATACCGTAAGGTTGTTGTCCCATAGACAGGCTAGCCTGGCCCGTAGAGTCAAGGCCTGTCATTTCCAAGAATGCTGGGTCCGAGTAGTCGTGGAATGACGGCATGCCCGTGGGAGCTGCATGCTGGACTTGGCGGTTTTGAAAAGCTGGCGATTGATTGTGTACTGAACGAGGTACGGGGTTCCTGTAGTTGCCGTCAGGAGATGTTGCCATGGCCATCTGTGTGCCGAAGGGTGACTGCTGGGTCATGAGCCCGTGATACACCCCATCGTTGGCAGGTCCACCAAAGGCGTTCGTATCGCGTCCTACTGACGAAGAAACTGGTCCACTAGTCGGCTTCATACGATGGTGCTGATTCATGTGGGAACGGTCAAGGACACGGGCTTTCTGTCTCGGCTCCTGCGACTGCTGTTTTTCGTGCTGCTGAAGTTGCCGTTGCTGGGATTGTAGTTGTTGATGAAGCCTCTGCTGTTGGCTATGTGATTGTCGCTGTTGTTGCTGCGGTACTTGATGTTCAAACTGCCCCTGAACAGAGTGACTGTTGCTGTACATGCTAGTTGGCGAGTCGCCCGCCAGGGACATGGGATAGGCGCCGGCGGCCATTGACTCGTTGGCGTGGGCTTGATGAACGATGCTGCTAGAGGCATGACTTGGACTGAAGCCAACACGTAGCTCAGGCCCATCTTGATGCGAGCTGGTGCTTTGCGAGTGTGTCGAGTGGCTAATGGACATGCTCATTTGGCTTATAGTCTGTGAGGGTGTTCTTTCGGCGTGGTCTTTCGCGTTAGCATTGCGACTGTTGGTCTGTTCTGTAGATGGTCTCTGCTGCGAAGTATGCGAGCTAGTTGCAACTGGGGTTGAGACAGTCTGGCTGTGATCCGAGGACGACCCAACGTGATTCCTTGAAACAGGTTGTCGTGGTACCTCCTTCATTGGCTTCCGCCTCTTAGCTAACTGTCGCATTCCATTGCCATTGCCAGGTTGACCCAGAGACACGGCATTGGTGGTCATGTCAGACGCAGGCACCTCCCGAGTTACGGGATCTGATGCTGTGTCAATCGCTGTTTGGGTAGCAACCTCGGGATCAATAGAAGCCGACTCGGTAGCTTGCGCGACAGTGGGATCAGTTGTGGAAGCTTTGCGTTTCCGCTTCGCCCCTCTCAACTCACTGCTGATAATGGAAACGGCTCCAGAAACCTCGGCAGATATAGACGGATGGTGAGAGCTTGGCCCGGTAGTCCCACGGTCGACCATACTGCGTTCCTGCCCGTGTTGTTGGCTATGTTCTTCCAATTGTCGATCGCCATTGCCAGTCTGGACTGCTATTCTTTGTTCCTTCGGTCGATTTTTGGATCCTTTGGGGCGACCAGGACCTGGCTTTCGCTTCTTGATGCTGGATACTTCAGATCCCGTGCTAGCTGGCATGATATCCTGGTCTGTGACAGTAGCTTTCTGCTGCTCAGTATTCGTCACGGAAACACCATCCTTGGGCCGGTTTTTCGATCCTTTAGGCCTCCCTCGCCGTCTTGGAGGTGGTGTGCGAGAGGCATCGGGCACAGCACTGATGGGTTCTTCCCCGATGGAGACACTCGGCCCCGAACTACTCTCATGAGATACTTTTGCGGTGTCATCGGCAGTGGCATTACGCCTTGTTCCTGTTGCATTACCCCCGTCATTTGGGGGTGCTGCGTCTTCGATATCGACCCAACTGTCATCTGAAGGCCCCTCCTGGACAGATCCGTTGCCTAGAAGACGAATTTCTGATGTTTGTAATGAACGGGCACCAAACAAGGTACGTTTTCTAAGGCTCTTCTCCTTTTTCCCTTTTGCATTCTTACTTCCTCTCGGTCGTCCCCTTGGACGTTTCACTATTGACTGTTGCGAATTGGACAACGACTCGGGACCAAGAGCTGGAAAGATCTCAGCTAACCAGCCGATGAAGAGTGAACCCGGACCATTGGACTCAGCACTGTCCGGAAAAGATTCATTGGTGGATGCTGCACCGGGAACGCCACCGAAGAACGCCAGCGCTTTACACAGTTGATCGACCACCAGAACCGGATGAAGACCACGCAAAAGCGTTAGCAAGCGAGCTTGTTCGGCCTTGGTCTCGGCGGCCGTGAGGAGCGACGTCCGATGGCGAGGAGCTGGAGGGTACGTCGAAGTATCTCGATCTTCTGGGCGATAAGCGAATTTGCTCCGCCTGATGGGAACGTATCTGTCTGTCTGGGCTAGTTTCGCCGCAAGCTGGGTGCCTTCACTCGTCCTTTTCGCCGCCGCATCCCGCTCTTGAATTTCATTCGTGGTGGTAAGATCAATGTGCATGACACCAAAGTTTCCCTTCCTGGCATCGGTCTTGCCCTTCAGCTTGCTTGGAACTGGATTTCGAACGCGACCATCTCTGTACAGGCCGGGAATATCATCATGCACTGGAGGCCCCGTGTGTTGTAAGATCCCAAAACCATGAGATTCGCCTGTTGCCTGGAAGTCAGCCGCCCGCCTAGCCATACAGAGTTGACAACAAGCAGGGCTGCCGTAGAAGAACAGTAGCATGGAGAAACAAGTCTGGTCAACGAACCTCTGTGGCTTGCAGAAGCTGAAACGGGGGTTTGCGAAGTATGTTGGTCAGAAGTGCTTTTCTCTTCGTTCGAAATGGCTGCGGCCGGTTTCAGAGACTGAAGTGATGCTGCAAAAGTTTATGGTCAGAAGGGCGCTGGTGACGAACAATTGACGGGGGAAATGCGGACCTGCGGTAGTAGCCATTGCTGTAAGCGTATGCCACGTTGTAGACCGGTTCTCATTCCCAAACGCAAACAGGCCGAGGCCGGGGCCGGTGCCGGTGCCGTAGTTGTGAGTGCGGCGCGATTGCTTGTTGTAGTGTTAATACGATTTGGTTACACAGGGATGTACGATGGGCCGTCGATTCGTGATGTGGAGATGGGTCTCGAGCAGGCTATGGGAATCGCGACCCATCCGACGCTCGCAAGTAGCCCGTAACTTCTTACGATGATTCTCCGAGTCAACTGCTTCGAATTTGGGCCGCAGAGCACGAGCGGAACATCATCATGGGTCGGCCAGTCGTGACGAAGTGGGATGGTGAGCGCTGTGGGCTGTACTGCGTAGACACTGCTAACGGCCAGCTTCACAGCGCGAAGGCTTGGCTCCCAACGAATGGCGCAACGAGAAGTGGTACTGGCAGACCAGCTTTCGAGTGATTCAGCGAGGGCGCGACGTCGATGACCGAGCAAGAGAAAACAAGACCAAATATTCATACGGAATGACCGTCGAGAAACGAGAAACAGAAGTGATGCAAAGAGTGGCCCTAAGGGTGCGGAGGCGGTAGACGCGGAGTACAGCCAGGACTTCGATGGCTGATCGCGAGTGACACAGAGCCCAGCTGCTGCTACCCGTGGGCACCTCACCTAGGGGGGGGAGCATTAATCCGCTAGCTGCCCATAGCTCAGCGCCCCAAAAGGACAGAGCCCGCTCCTGGACGCGGCTGTGCGATGCTCCTAGCACAGGCAAATAGCTTTCACTGGACCTAAACCTTTGACAGACGTCGGCTTTCTTTCTCTTCCCGGCACCTCCAGATATCCTTAATCTCATCAAACCTCCAAGGCCACCAAAACGAACACCTGTGGCATGTTTGAGAGTGCCTAGATTTGAGCCCGTTCCTCCACACTGACCGACATCTCGGGGGCTGCAACGTTCATATCAGCATCGCAATCGCTTCCGCCAACCACCCCTGTCGCCGTGTCAGGTACGTTCCCTTAATATCCAAAGCGACTCGGTGTTCAGGCCCGTCAGCTTCCTTACCTAAGCCTTCCCTCCAATACCTCTTGTTACCTCAAGCTAGCTCTCTCACGTTGTTGAATCGCTCCGACTCGCTGCCGCCATCGTCATCGTTCCAGCTCCCTAGCCAGCACTTTACCGCGCTCACCTGCTGATACGCAGGGACTGCTAGCTAGCATCTTTAACATGTCTACCAAATACGTCCTTGTCTCTCTACCCCTCGGCATTTTCGACTCGAGTGATAAGGAAGATGCCATCGCTTCCTTGAGCGCAACGATCTCGCCCGAGAATGGCAACGTCCGGCCTTTCAACATCCCAGACTTCAAGATCGGCACATTGGATGCCTTGGTCCAACAGGCCGACGACCTAGCCAAGTTGGAATCTACTTGCGAGGCCGTCGTTGCCAAGGTTGCTGATTCACTGAAGTCGATTCTCGATGGCGACGAGGACAAAATTGCGCAGCAGAAGATGGTCAACGACAGTATGCATTTCAACCGGGTCCATTCTCTTCCTCAATATCGTCATAGACCGCTGACAAAGTTGTTTTCTAAGAGCCTACCGATCAGTACGTAAGCTCGTTTTCGTGGAATAAAGTTCGATACCGTGCCGACAAGAGCTTGAGCGAGCTTGTCGATACGCTGCAAAAGGTATGCCACGAGTGAGAGCAGAAAGGTGCACTGCCAGGCATGACTGACAAGAGAACACTAGGAACTTATCACTACCGACAACGACGTCAAAAGCAAGTTTAATCAGTACAACTCGGTCAAGACGAACTTCACCACACTACAGCGCAAGCAAACGTATGTGTTCACTACCTGAGTACTACCCGAGTATCAAAGTGGTGCAGATTGCTAATGGTAAAATTGACGCTAGTGGCAACCTCGCGACAAAGTCGCTCACTCCGATTGTCGACCCTGCCATCCTTATTCAAGACTCGGAATACCTCGAGACACACCTGATAGTTGTGCCCAACAATGCCAAGAAGGACTTCTTGAGAAGCTACGAAACGCTTGCACCCATGGTCGTTCCACGCTCAGCTGCACAAGTAGCTCAGGATGATGAGTTCACATTGTACTCTGCCACGTCCTTCAAGAAACATAGCGCCGAGTTCCTACAAAAATGCCGCGAACAGAAGTGGACACCCCGCCAGTACAAATACGTCGAAGGTGGCAAGGAAGAGGAACAGCGCGAGCTTGATCGAGTAGCTCGCGAAGAGAAGAAGACTTGGGGAGAAGCCTTGAGAATCGGACGTACGGGCTGGAGCGAAAGCGTCATGATATGGCTTCATGTTCTAGCACTTCGCGTCTTTGTCGAGGCAGTTCTGCGATACGGGCTTCCTCTCGACTACGTCAGCGTCTTAGTAAAGGTAAGTGATCGCCCAGTGATTCTCGCAATCAACGTATGTACACCTTGCTAACATACTAGTCAGACGAACTCGAAGCTTGCTAAGAAGGTCAAGACGTCCCTCGATTCCAACTATTCTTACCTGGGAGGCAACGCTTTCGGGCGAGATAAGCGTGGAAAAATTACTAAAGACGATGCAACCCTGTCGTCTGAGATGGCAGCAGCTGGATTGGGCGGAGGCGAGGGTCACGAGTACACAGCGTATGTGTACTACGAATTCGACTTTCCTTAGGCGTAGCAAGTTGAAACGGAGTAATGCACCGACGAGGGCTCTAATATACATACGTCTATATATCCACCAAACACCCGGCGCATGTGGGTAAGCGGCAAAGAACAAACAGGAGCTCTGAATGCCACGAGTTCACGGTTTCTGTAGTCACGCAACTAGATGAGAAACCGCAACGCCTTCGCAAGCATAGGGACTTTAAGCTGCTTTGGTGGATGAAATGAGACCCTCCTTGATCAACCACTCGGCAATTTGCGCGACGCACTCCTCCACGCTCGACTTATCGGTCCTGATGCGGATTTCGGGGTTTTCAGGCTCTTCGTACGGCGCAGAGATGCCAGTGAAGTCCTTGATCTCGCCTGCTCTGGCCTTCTTGTAAAGCCCCTTAGGATCACGTTGCTCTGCCACCTCGATTGGGACGTCAACAAAGATTTCGATGAAAGGGATAGCGTCGTCGTCGCTTTGGCTCGCCTGGGTGTGCAACTCGCGGGCAACCTGACGGTCTGCTCGGTACGGGGAGATGAAGGAAGTGATGGCGATTGTCGAGGAGTCAGCGAAAAGCTTAGCAACCTATTATTGCATAGTGCATCAGATAAGCAAGAAACATGGCATCAAGTTGGTGGCGTGCGTAGAAACAAGGGAGAGCAATATACCTCAGCGATACGACGAATATTCTCGTTCCGGTCCTTCTCAGAAAATCCCAGATCTTTGTTAAGGCCAAAACGGACGTTGTCGCCGTCCAGACGGTAGGCCGCAAGACCCAGGTGTAGGAGATGTTGCTCCAAAGCGGTCGCCACGGTCGACTTGCCCGAGGCAGAGAGGCCAGTCAGCCAAATGGTGAAGCCACGCTGGCGACGCAGCTGATTACGCTCGTGGCGGGAAAGCGACGGGTGCCATGTAATGTTGCTACGAAATGAACACGTTTCGATCAGTCAAGGCGCTGCGCACTAGATTGATGCGAAGAGGCTGGAGGAAGTCATGAAGCCGACGGGCTAGGGCGACGCAGTGAAAGAGCCCGGCCGGATGGTTGGGGGATGCGCGCAAATTCCAAGGAGGGGTAATAATCAAGCATGGAGTTTGTACTCACGTAGCCATTGTGGAAGTCAGTACGACGAACTAATAGACAGTGGTCCAGTAGAGGTCGGGAGATGGAAGAGAGTGGAAGGATGACCAAAGAGTTTGCAGTTATAGGATACGCGCGGAATGTCCAAGCAAAGACCAAGGGACAGCAGGTCAGGAGTTTTATACCCAAGTCATGGACTGTGTAAGTGACGGCTCTCTGAGGTACAATATTAGTGTAGGTGCCGTCCAAGTCCTCCAAGGTAAGGAATGCCTTCTGCTCCGGTCCCCTCGCCCCCGCTTGCACAACACAGCGCGGCCCATCTGACGTGGAGCACGCCGGCACCGGCTTACACAGTTTTCAAGGCTTTTCCAGCGTGGGGGGGAGGGGGGTTGAAATAAAAAGAAATAAAAAAATAAAAAGAGAATTCATCGTCGGAAGCGATGGCGTCAGATCGGCTAAAGGTGGATCATACCTTGGCAGGCCATCCAAGTACGCAGCATATGTACTCCAGTTGTGATCTACAGGCAACTCCGAGCCCCGGCACCGCAATCGACCGACTGCCGACCCTGACCGGATGCCGTTCGACCTTCCCGCCAGGTATGAAGGGACAGGCCGTCTTAGTCTCAGCTCCTCCATGCGCAATGTCAGTGGGCAGCTTTTCTTCACGAATATGTCACTTTTCATATTTGCCTAGCCGGTACCTCTAACTGTCATTCACCATTCATCTGGAATAGTGGGCTGCGCAATCCATGAAGCCCACCCCCTCGCGAATTTTTCTAGGCGCATCATAGACGGATATTCAACACGCCGTTCTGAGCCAGCCTGCCAGGGCTTCTTGCGTACGGATCTTGTCGCCCAAACGGTCTAATCGTGAGGCAGTTCCTAAGATTCTACGTCTGCTTCGAAAAAAAAAAAAAACCATGTTTCATACTCACGATGTTGCGTTGAGCTTGGCCATGACCTGCGAAGAATTTTAGCGTGGGAAATGCCGATGTCGTTCAACGGGGCGGCACACAACATACCGATGCAAATCTAGGTGAGACAAAGAGTGCTGTTGCTTGTGCCAAGACAACAGGCTCCTGTCCTTCATCAACCAACGTTTCCAGTTGGCCCTCGACCCAAGCCTTGCGCCCTTCAACTCTCACCGTCTGCGCCCTTAGCACCACGTATGTCCCGGCGTGAACCGGCTTTCTGTAGTTGATTTCGAGCTTTGCGGTGACGCCCACGTTATGTGGAAGTGCTCCAAAACAGCAGCGTGCTAGACCTTCGTCAAGCATGGTCGCCAGAAGACCTCCGTGCACAATACCAGGGTGGCCGCACATATCTGTTCCAAGATGAGATATGGAGACGAGTGCTTTTCCACCGTTCCTGGTCCAGCATATCGGAGGCACCGTGATGCGCCCGGGGCCAAGGAGTGTACCGCCAGTAAGATTATGACGTCTTAACCCATCGGGCAGCCTCATATGTGGCCGAGATTCAACCATGTCCGCCTCCCTGCGCATCGTTGCCGCAAGAGGGTGGTTATTGATATAATCATCCACTGCCTTGGCCTCTGCGTCTTCTGGAACATAAAGACGCAAGCTGTCTTCGTCGGACCGGTGTTTTGTCGCATCCACCAGACTGGGCACAAGTGGGCTAGCTGCGGCTATAAAGCCGAGACTTGCAAACAACAGTCCATATGCGCCGAATGCGATTGCCCTGCGAAGGCGGGAGGGAGGTGATGCCGGTGGCGCGAGGGGAGCTGCGAGAAACGGGGTAAGCTTGGAAAATTCAGGCATTAAGACCTCGCGCAAACACTCACGTGCGCCAACACCAGGGTGGTATCGTCGAAGAAGTATACGACAAGCTGCCGAGGAGAACAGCGCGTTCGGGATGCTTCTTCCTGCACAGCTTGCAGGAAGCGCTATCATCCGCCTCAGCGGAGCGAACGGCGTCGCTGTCATGTATGCGGCCACTCTGTCCGTCAAGGGCGTGCGTCGTTGGCAGGAGGTATATGATAGGAGGGCAAAAGTATCTTATTCAAAAGGCAATTGTTGTTGCAGGGTCAAATTAAGGCCGCGCAGGCAAACTGGGGTAAGACAACCGAGGCACCTTGCCTTGCGAAAGCTTCCTACCTAGCTGGTGTGGCAGAATAAGGTAAGACACTAAGTGCCTTACTTGATAAAACCAATCATACGTGGTCAAGCCCCATATTCTCCACCTCAATATTCAGTAGCGACTGCCTCGAAAGTCCGGTTCGCGAAACGTTGCCAAGCATAGGTATGAACAGGATAGTCGTGCTTCCCATTGCGGGCGTCCAATCATGCTGATGATCAGCTGGCATTGCCATTGGCTTAATTACGTCAACTGCTCGTGGTGTTCCCTTGTCCTATGTATCCCGTCTCTGCCTTGCCTGGGTTCAAGAACTGAGCAAGTAGTCACCCATGCCAATGACATCAACCCCTCCCCCAAACGTCCTTCCAGCGTCTGAAACTATACAAGTTGCGGTCGGGGCACAGAAATAATGGGACCGACCCTCTGCATACAAGCGCCCATCCGGTGTGCGCTCCCGCTTCGTCCGTCCCATCATATCGCTGCTCAGTGGATGACGGACGCTTTGGTCCCCTCAAGTGCAGATTCCCCTGGAAGATCAGATGGCATATAAATTGGCTGCCGAGACGACATTAGACATCACAAACCCTTCCTCCATTTCTACCCCTCTCATCGATCCATCAAAGCAGGAACATTGCAACATTTGACTTCTCCACCACTTTTTGTGCAATCATCTCGAGGAGATTCATCACATCATCCAACATGGTACGTTCTGATGTAATACTCGATGGAGTATTGTTCTCATTCATCTTCCCTGACCCGTAATACTGCCGTCGCATCAAGGCTACGGCTGAAACAGTAGACTTGGGCCCCGTCCATGAGCCTAAAGAGGAGTCAGTCAAAGTCTTCAAGGACATAGAGCACGAGCTCAAGAAGGAGCTCCTGCATACCCGCCGCGAATACCAGAGTAAGAGCCCTGCCTTCGTCAGAAGGGATCTACAAGTTCACCAACTGATGCCCAAACCCGTACTAGAGCACGAACGCGAGTATTTCCAGGCTGTTGTGAGTACCGTTGGTGGTAGATGAATCTTGAGTCCATCCTGGCTCACACGCTCGAATATAGGAGGAGCTGGACGACGACCAACTGGCTGGTTTCAGCTCCAAGGACCTCGTCGCTGTCAGAGTCGGTGTCTCAGCCTACGGCGTTCACCTCTTCGGCAAAATTCGTATCCCAGCCATGTCCGACTCAGGACCTGCATACATCCACTTCAGAGCCTTTGATGTGCCTGGAGCAGACGAGCCGGCTAAGCTACACAGCATCCACACAGAGGAAAAGGAGCATTCTGACGGTGACAAGACCTATCGCGCCATATTCACCAAGAATGACCCACTGGAGTGGTTTGACACATAATGGAGCAAAATAGCTTAGAATAATGGCCTGGACACAGGCACGGGAAGCCTCGTTAGATACCGAATCCTAGTTCACCGTTAATCCCTTGCACTAATGGCGTTGGCAAGTCCACTCTCCCAGCCTAATCATCATCTTGAGCTAAAAGATCGGCGTAGTCCTCTGCCGAAGCAAACATGGGCAAGTCCTTGAGTTTCCTCCTCGACGATCGGCCACCCTTCTTCGGCTTCTCATGCTCCGCCGCCTCCTCAGTCGGAGGCGCAGGAGACTCAACAATTCCCTCGTCATCACGGTTATCCATCTCCTCAGCCCCGTCGTCCTCCAAACCAAGTGTGTCGTCTTCAACATCTCCGTCCGAGTCGTTAATATCGGAGCCATCGGAAAATACAACTCCGCCGTCAGAGGAATCGTCACTGTCGTCAAAACCGTCCATATCGAGGTCAGATTCATCGCTGTCGATGGGTCCATCAGGATGCGTAGCTGTAAGGGCCTTCCAAATCTCGTCCTCTTGCTCGCCCTCGTCCTCCTGGTCACCAGACGCGACGGCCGAAGCCGTAGCCGCCTTCTTCCCCATCTCGGTTTTCTTGCCAGCCTGCTTGAAGTACTCGTGGAAGAAAATGTCCTCCACGGCAACATTTTCAGCTTTTCTGTTCCAGAAGCTCGGCGAGTTGATCGATGCTCCAGAAGCTGCACCGGCCCTTTTGGCAAGCCAAATGCTACCTGGGTCTGGGTTGCGAACTGGCTGCATAATGGATGCGCCCCTGCTCGTCTCAGCGACCTTGGGGTTGCGATAGACGAACTTGTCGAGAAATCTGATCAGACTATGGCTCTCCAGATCCGGTTTAGCCATTTGCGTCTCATCAGAAAACAAACTGGCGGCCAGCGTTGACACGGACGGATGGAAGTGGGTTAAAGGGGGTACCTAGATATAACAGCATGAGCGACTTTTCTCAAGATGACGAGACGATAGTGCTCACAATTTCCCACAGACAGCTGTTTTGAGCATTGCTGTGTTCTGGATTCCTCTTTCGGCCATCGTATGTTGATCCTCGAGAAGCGGGCTCGTTCTTGCTTTGCTCCGTGAATTGAGCAACTGTTCCTTCGGCATCGTTGTCTTCGGGCTCCTCGAGAAGAGCCCTGAGTTCAGGAAACTGGACCCGTAGCTGAAACACGACATATAGGAGTCCGCAAGCAAACGCAGCTTGGTGCAAGTTCAAAATTTGGAGCATTCTCTTCGCGAAAGCCTTGATACGGCGCGTATCGACGTCTGCCTTCAACGACCTTAAGAGCAAATTTAGATAGAGGGCCTGCTTCGAAGAAATCGCCAGACGGGGGTCCAGCAAAGATTCGTACAAGGTCCTGTAGAACCTGTCCGAGGCTAGATGCCTCGTGACTGAAAGCTGCTGGATGAGAATGAGTGCCTGGATGCTGGTATTGAAATTCGTGGAATGTGCAATACGGAAGAGCGTGTCCACTTGCGTTTCCAGACTATAACAGGATGAGTGAGTCCTCTGTCGGGTCAGGGGAAGAGATGAAGCAATTGAGGAGCACATACATGGGATTCTGGGCTGCCACGAAGGGAACTGCGCGGTTAATACCTGTCAAAACCGCAGTGACCAGCTTATCGGCTGTCTGACGCTCTGCTGCTGCGGCTCCTTCTGTTCCGGCTGGGGCAGACCTCTCCTTCTCATCATCCCCTAGCGCTCTGCCCAAAACAGAACTGTTCAGAAGGGTCACGAAAATATCGAAGTAGATGCGGAGAAGGGTCTCTGCTGTACCAACCTCACGACTGCTGAGGATGGTCTGGTTGAGAGTGTTCACCGCGTGATACTTGGCTCTGAAGGTCTGGCCAGGGCGCAGCAAAACCTCCTGCTCGATAGCGTTGATAATGATCTGTCTCATGCCAGGGTGAGTGTTCTGGAGCTGAAGCAACAGGTATGAGACTCTCGAGGCAATCTTCCGGTCTTTGTCGCCGAGCTTGTTGACCAGCAGCCTCAATAGGTTTGTTTCTTGCTCAGGCTTATCCTTGAGCAGTCCATACACAAAGTCGAGGGAACGGGTTCGGGAATACTCGATCTCGTCGTTGCACCACACCTCTAGCAGCTGAATGACTTTGAAGTAAGAGGACTTGAGCCAGTCCTCGTAAGCGTATTGGATAAGGTGTGGCTCGGTAAGACGTCCAGGTAAAGGCTGCCCTGAGCTCCACGAGCTGACTGTAGACTTTTGTAATGTGCCTAACAACCCAGGTTGCGACTGGAAAGTCCGCAGCCTTCTGTTTGGAGGTAAGATGAGACCGGGACCTAGGAGATCGACCAAAGCACCCAAGGCTCCAATTGCCTGAGCGCGACTTCGTTTGGAGGCAAGGCCAAGAAGGGACTCAAACGCTTTTACGTTGTGTAAGGGAGATTCTTGTATTGCCAGCGTGAGCGCTGATACCTTGTCAGACAAGGTACCAGACGACATGATTGTAGAAAGGAACTTGTGAGAGGAGGAGGCCAAGACACTCTTGCCGTAGACTGATGCATCAGCTTCTAGAAGAGCAAGAGCATGGTTCTTGAGCGCATTGATGGCGCCGAGGTATCCATCCAGCTCTGTTGTTGTGGGCTCTGGAAGCTTGCCTAACGCAGCGCCGTGCCAGTCCGCACGAGGCTCGAATTTCTGTGAGCAGACGGGTCAGTACAATCACGGTACGGCGATGACAAGGATTATGCTCACGAACGGCTTCTTGGGCACATTGTTTGCCTCCTTGCGATGCTCTTCGAAGGTCTCTTCCTGATGATTAATTGCTTCGGAGCCAGTCGTCTCTGCCTCGGAGGCCTCGCTACCATTTTCAGCTTCACTGACGGATTCGACGTCCTCGTCGCTGCCACTGCCTTCGTCAGATCCGCCGATAGTCTCTTGTTCATGATATTGCTGGAGTCCCAGCTGAGCAGCAAAGGCAGCTAACTCGCCCTGAAGCTTGCTGTCGACAACACTGCTAGATTCCTCGTCCCCGTTGGCATCTTCCTGGTCTGAATCCACGTCGCCAATCAACTGAAGGTCCTCCTCGTCGCCGCCCAAAGCTCGAATCTCCTCCAGCAGGGCTTCGCGAGATAGGGAATCGCTCTTGCTGGTCTTCGAATTGGTGGCCACTGCCCTTCGAGGTTCCTGGCTTCCCGGAGAAAGTTTCTTTCGTTGTCGAGGACTCGCGGAGGGCCCATCTGAGGCGTGTTTGCGCTTCTTGTTTGTGATGTTGCCGCCATCTTTGGGCTTCGTTCCCAAACTCTTATCGATCTTGGCTGTAAGCGCTGTAAGCGACTGCTCGTTCAATCGCGTCTGCTGTGAAGCGCTGCCAGCGGAGTGACGTTTAGGCTTCGCCATGGTTGAAGATCGTCTTGTAGGTTGACGAAAGTAGAGCTCTGGCGCAACTCGATTCTCCCGAGTGTGAACAGAATGAGGAAGTATTGCGCCTATCCAGCTTCTGCAGCAGCTTTGGAGGGCAAAAAAAAAATTCCACTAGCTAGGTACGGAAGTGGGGTTGCTTGTGAATTCTACCTTATCTCCACACTAACCGCACTAGTCTGTGTATGGGAAAGGCGTGTTCACGCCCCTGCAGGTCGGCTGGTAGAGGGCACATGCGGCTCGTGGTCGTTTTTCCCAATCCCTGAAAAGATTAATGGATGGGTTAGGACCATTTCTCGACTGCGAGCTGTGGCTCATGACACGACGCTTCGACTACATCTTTTGCTAAATGGCCACCTACTTGAGCTGTTTCGTATATTCTTATCTGAGCTCATATCAGCTGGTGCATGCCCTCAAGTTTCTGTTCGGTCGAGTTGTTACCCACGTTCATCCAGGGTTTGTTTGCAAACCCGCTTTGCGCGACTTGAACGCCATTTTGCCTGCCGCACTCGCTGTTATCCGATCGCCTGCTCTGGTAATGCCATTTGCTTCAGCTAGGCGACTGCAGCGCCAAAACCAGAGACTCGTTGGTTCATTTGCCATCAACTGATACGCTACCCCTCAATACTCACAGACACAGCTCTGCATAAGCTGAGTTGGTAGTCGTAGGACGCCAGCTGCTAGAAAGCTCACGTTCTGTCGGAACGATGCTCACCTTTGCCCGAAGACTGACGCCTCCGTCAAAAACCCGCACGCTATGTAACAGCAGACTTCAGCCAGGTTCTCGGGTAAGAATCGCGCGCAAGATGCAGGATTACTCATATTCAGGGAGGGCAGATACTAACATTCTAAAGCCATGTTTTCGACACTATCATATCGAGCCTGCTCGGCATCGACTTTCCGCAATATGGACCCCCACTGGAGGCATTACTGCTGGGAAAGACGAAGGTAGACAATGTCTTGCTGCTTCCACCTGCAAGCGACTGACTAAGCCGGGAACAGGCGCTCACGACAAGCTCGTTCGTGCAGGGTTTCTCAGGCAGGTAGGTTCGGCCAACACCAAGAAAATGCCTTCACCTGAGTGCTTCCTAACATGCTTTGACAGTCTCACTCGGGAGTTTTTCACCTCCTGCCCCTCGGTAGGCGTGTCCAAATGAAACTCGAGGGTCTGATCGATCATTACATGCAAAATTTGGGTAAACTCCCCAGAGTCTCGAAAATGGCATATTGTTGATCTTAGTACTCAGGGGCCTCAAGGGTGTCTCTATCAACCATAACATCCAAGGAGCTCTGGCACAGAAGTGGTCGCCTAGCCCAGCTAGAATCAGAGGTCCGTTTTCGCAGGGCTTGCTGGCGACGACATAACTGAAAATCCTATAGCTTTTCGCATTCGAGGATCGCAAAGGGGCCCAGTATATGCTGTCGCCCACACATGAGGAAGAAATTACTTCCCTAGTAGCGAAGACTGTCAGGTCTTACAAGGAGTTGCCCCTTCGCCTATATCAGATCAGTGAGTTGGTCTGCCTGCAGGCCTGATGTGCCGCGAAACTGCAGAGACTAACACAGTACCCAAAGCTCGCAAGTTTCGTGACGAGTTACGGCCACGGCATGGCCTTCTTAGATCCCGCGAGTTTACCATGAAGGACCTATATACTTTTGACGTCTCATCTGAAGCGGCGTTGGAGACGTATCACAAAGTCCAAGCTGCTTATAAGGGTGTTTTTGAGGCCTTGAAGCTGCCAGTGATGGTGGCCAAGGCCAGCTCTGGCGATATGGGAGGCGATCTCAGCCACGAATACCATCTGCCGGCCCTTGTTGGGGAGGACACCGTCATTATCTGTGGTTCTTGCGATTATGCTGCTAATACAGAGGTGGCGGAAACTCGTAGGGACGTCACGAAGCTGAATGGTCACCCCCCGGTCGAAAACACCCAAGTGTCCGCTGTGAGAGTATGGCGAGGGATCAGCAAGGACCGCTCGACTCTGGTCAACGTGTGGTACCCGGCACAAATTCCAGGGGAGACGAGAATGGAGGAAACAAAAGACGTTGATGTGAGCATACCTGCTGTGAAATCCATTATTCCCGGCTTGGACGCAAGCGTCGATGACGCCCTGCATCTCTGGCCCCGTGCTGTCGAATGTCAGCATACAACTGGGCAAGTTGCCGCAAAGTCGCCGAGGCTAGTAAACCTGATCGACTTCAGACTGGCGGCACAGGCTGAGGAGTTGCTACTTCAAGAGGCAAAGTTGTGGCCTTTACCACAATGGGAGACGGCAAAGTCAAAGTTGGATGCTATCACGGTCATGGAGGACCGGAGCGGTCAGGGGCTGAATCTCCTGGCGGTTCGTGCAGGGGACAGGTGTCCAAGCTGCGAGAGCGGCATTCTGAGAGTACAGAAGGCCCTGGAAGTTGGGCACACGTTCCATCTAGGGACAAGATACTCGCAGCCACTCGGGGCGACGATTTCCGTGCCGATGGGCGCAGCGGCCACAAAAGGGACAAGTCAACCCTTGGCTACCGAAAAGACGGTCCCGATGCAGATGGGGTGTCACGGGATTGGAGTGTCTCGTCTTATCGGTGCCATGGTTGAGCATTTGGCAGACGAAAGGGGGCTACAGTGGCCGAGGGTTGTCGCTCCCTACGAGGTCGTTGTGATATCATCAACAGACTTAGCCGAGGAGGCTGGAAATGTCTATGACGAACTAACGATGCCTAGAACCGGGATGTTGGAACCAGAGGCAGTATGGGATGACCGCGCCTTATCCTTGTCATGGAAGCTCAAGGATGCAGATTTAGTAGGATACCCCGTGGCAGTGGTCCTCGGTAAAGCGTGGAAGCAGAATGAGGGCTGCGAAGTGCAGTGTAGGAGACTGGGCATCAAAGAAACGGTGCCGCTGTCAGGGGTCCGTCGACGGGTATCAGAGTTGTTGGAGAAGCTGTAACAACAACGACACATGTCGAGTGAATCTGGCGAGCACGTCCAACAAATAGGGTGTTGTAACAGTCGGCTATACAATAACCAAGTCATCTCCTACACAGTGAATGCAATCTCGCCGTCTTTGTAAGGCTATATCTGGCCTACATGGAAAAGGGTTTCCAGAGGCCTGGCTGGCGGTGGTTTGGCTCATCGGCATAATATCACGTGACCCAATGGTCGGCCTTACTAACCATGCACAATACCGACCTCGGGAGTACGTATCTCAGACTTTGAGCCCTTGCCAAGTGGAAAGAGTCGTAATCAGCCTGTTCCACTCCATCCGTTGCTTGTTCCTGTCCGCCGCAACGCTGGCAAGGCTGAATTTGGTCCTACCCCCAATATCACGGCAATAGTCAAGTTTATCCGACATGGCCTCCCAAGGTTCTGAGACGAGTGAGTCATAGGTATGCATGCCACGTCAAAGGTCTTTCACTGATTTAATATGGAAGTCAACCTCGAGACACTGGATGTGCAGCAACTAAGCCAGGTCAAAAAACAGTTGGAGGAGGAGTTGGAACACTTGACCTCATCGTTTGCCCAGCTGCACAGCGCTCAGGCTAAGTTCAGAGAGTGCCTCCGTTGTGTTAAGGCTCGTCCTGGTTCCGAACAGGGTTAGCGATTTCCCTCTCTCAACCAGTTCACTCAGTCTCAGAGGCCATGAATGCTGATAATATCCCCAGCCGAGAGATCGGTACTTGTTCCCCTCACAAACTCGCTTTACGTGCGCGGTGAGCTGTCCGACCCCAAGCACGTAATTGTCGACGTCGGCACAGGGTTCTATGTGGAAAAGGTTGGTGCATTTCCCACGCTGCGAAGGCGCAGTCAAGCCTGCTGACTCTGCGAAAACTGAAGGATACCGAGTCGGCCGAGCGCTTCTACGATGCCAAGGTCCAACAGCTACAGAGCAACATACAGGATCTGGAAATCATTGTCCAGCGCAAAACATCAAACGTCCGAAGTGTTGAGGATGGTAAGTATTCCCCAACTCGTCAGGAAGGGCATGCACTGGGTACTCACACCAGCCAAATAGTTCTGAGACAAAAGGTAGTTCAGAGTCAGGCAGCGTAGAGGGCGAAAGAGAAGAGCAACAGGAATGATGAGATAAGGGGTCAAAAAAACAAAATGATGTTAACAGCTCTGCTTCGCGGTTGAGATCAGGCATTTAATATCTGACCAAGACGCTTGGAGCAGGAGCCAGAGTTGCAGATGTGGGCTTGCTACAAAGCTAAGTACTATCAATAGTGACGTTGACAGCGGCTATTTCCGGTAATTGATGATGCTGCAGACTGACACTACTTCCTCGGTTGACAGTGACGGGCCACCCGGAAGAAGGCGAAGTGTTCGCCGAGAAGCGGCTGATTGGGAGGGCTCCGTGTCAAAGGCTGTCCCGTGCCTTCATTCACACTGTAGAGTGACCAGGATGTCTTGCCCTTCTGCCAATGTAGCCTGTAGCTTCTGGCGAGTGCTATGGTCACTGGACGCTCTGCTCTGCTGCTGCAGTTGCTGCTACCAGGATTCTCCTGTCACTACCACCTGAGAGAAAGCTTCTAGCAACATTCGAAAATACACGCCGCGCCTGTGGTTACCTCGTAGCAGGTTTTTTCGTTGCATTTCCTTCGTTTTTCTCCTCGTCCGTATTCTCTTTCTCCCCTCGGCCGCCAACCCTGCACGATGTTTTCGAGAAGCTTGAGAACCACTGCGCGCCTGGTGCCGCTTCGTCGGTATCCCGCGCGGGCGTTACCAATGCAGATGCCACAGATGCTGCAGCACGTCCGCAATTATGCAGACAAGATCGTCCAAGTCCCACAGATGGCTGAGTCCATATCCGAGGGAACGCTGAAGCAGTGGTCCAAGCAGATTGGCGATTTTGTCGAGCAAGACGAAGAGATCGCGACCATTGAAACCGACAAGGCAAGTTATTTGTTCCAGCCTTGACCGGAAGGCCTGACGTCCTTTTGTTGCGACAACTACAGTTTCCCTGGAGACGATGTTAACTCATTCATATGTAGATTGATGTCGCTGTTAATGCCCCGGAAGCAGGTGTCATCAAGGAATTCTTGGTCAACGAGGAGGATACGGTTACTGTCGGTCAAGATATCGTCAAGTTGGAGCTTGGCGGCGAAAAGCCTAGCAGCAGCAGCGAAGACCCTAGCGAAGGGAAAACCACATCAGACAAGTCTGCCGCCGAGCCCGAATCTCAACCCGAGCCTTCCAAGTCAGAGTCGAAGCCTGAGCCTAAGGATGAACCTCAGCCTGAGAGCAAACCAGCTGCTCCTCCAGCCAAGGAGACCAAGGAGACTTCCAAGGCCGCCTCCAGTCCCTCGAAAGAGACTGCTTCAAGCACTGGTCCCAGCCTTGGTAGTCGTGAGGAACGCCGCGTATGTTATGCTCCAACTGCCCCCTCCTCGGCCGGGGATGACTGTCATGAGGTAATATGACTGATTTGATGTAGGTGAAAATGAACCGTATGCGCCTTCGCATCGCCGAGCGTCTCAAGCAGTCGCAAAACACTGCGGCATCGCTGACCACATTCAACGAGGTCGATATGTCGTCTCTCATCGAGTTTCGAAAGCTTTACCGTGACGACGTGCTCAAGAAAACTGGCGTGAAGCTGGGCTTCATGAGCGCCTTCTCACGTGCGTGTGTCTTGGCCATGCGCGACATCCCTGCTGTGAACGCGTCCATCGAGGGACCCAACGGAGGCGACACTATCGTATATCGCGACTATGTTGACATAAGTGTTGCTGTGGCCACGGAAAAGGGCCTCGTCACTCCGGTTGTCCGCAACACTGAGTCGCTTGACATGCTGGGCATCGAGAAGGCGATCGCTGACATGGGCAAGAAGGTACAGTTTTGTCTGTTTGAGTCTTTCAGAAAACGGATGGTGGGCTAACTTGCTGCGAATATAGGCTCGAGACAACAAGCTCACCATCGAAGATATGGCTGGTGGCACCTTCACTATCAGCAATGGTGGCGTGTTTGGCTCTCTCATGGGAACCCCGATCATCAATCTTCCTCAGACCGCCGTGCTGGGTCTCCATGCCGTGAAGGAACGCCCCGTTGCGGTCAATGGGAAAATTGAGGTTCGCCCCATGATGTATCTAGCTTTGACCTATGACCACCGGCTCCTGGATGGAAGGGAAGCTGTTCAGTTCCTTGTAAAGGTCAAGGAGTATATTGAAGACCCTCGGCGTATGCTTTTGTAGATAGTATTAGTTATAGTTCTAAAGAAATTTTCAATTTATGTTCTATACTTATTGGTTAAGATTTAACTCCTTTCTATATAGCTTTTAGCTATTTATAATAATATTATATTATAATAGTTTTAAACTTCTCTTTTTAATAGCGTTTAGCTAGCTAATAAATAACTTATAAGTATTAAAATAAGTTTAACTTAAAATAGAAAAGAGAGAAACTATAAAGTAGATATATAAATATATAAAAGCTTTATAAATATATATATAGAGCGCTAGCTTTAGATTAAATATTAAAATATATATTATACTTTAAAGTTATAATAAATAGTAATATATTAAATATTATAATACGTTTAATTTAAGCTATAGCTTTACTACTTATTATGTAATATATAGTATTATATAAGCTATATATATAGATATTAGCTTATAATATAAACTACCTTTCTAAATAGTTACTCTTATAATATACCTTTATTCTTAATAACTTATATACTTATAACTTATAAGAGTTATAAGCTTAGCTCTATTAATAACTTAAATTACCCCTCTACTATAAGTTATATATAAGAAACCTATTTCTATTTTTTTATTCCTTTATTATCTTTATCTATTATATTTTTATTAATAATAAAATTCCCTTTATAGGAGATATTTTTATATTTAAAAGTAACTAATCTATATAATATACCTATATTTAAGTTCTATATATATTTATAAAACCCTTAGGATTATATTAGCAGTCTAGTTAACCTATATAAATAGGTATTATAATTCACTCTATATATTTTTTCCCTATACTTTAAACCTAATAGTAGTACTTTAACCTATACCTAATCTTAATAAA